AGGTGTAGAGTGCGGCGCGGGCATATTGTTTGGCTTTGGTGCTGGTACAATGGTAGTGGGAAAGGTAGAGTTTGGGTAGGGGAAAAAATTTGCGGTCCAGACTTTTTTCCGGGCACCATGTCTGAGTACTTCTCTATTAGCGTCGAGACCACTGGTGATTTCAGTGGAGTCTGGTATGAGATTATCGCTGCAAGTTAGGCAACCCCGCCAAACGGCGCGGGATTGATTCCACCTCATCCAATGTTGCCTGCTTAAACCAGCCGAGGCAACAAGCTGACCTCACTAGAAACCAGGATCACCAAGGCTGTTTTTGCTCCTCCACGCACTAAATTGGTCGGCACCCAAGCTGATACCTCACCCCTCCCACAAGATCTACCCAAGAACACAAAACCGACAGCAACCATGACGACCCCAGCCGCAGACGAGCCCGCCGCCGCCGCCGCCGCGCGGCCGGCCTTCATCCCGCTCGAGGCGAACCCGGAACTGATGACGGACCTGGTGCGCAAGCTAGGGCTGAGCGCGGCGCTGCAGTGCCACGACGTCTTCTCCATCGACGAGCCCGAGATGCTGGCCTTCATCCCGCGCCCGGCCCTGGCGCTGCTGCTCGTCTTCCCCGTCGCGGCCGCGTACGAGTCGCACCGCCTAGCCGAGGACTCGGTCCTGGCCGAGTACTCGGGGAGCGGCGACGCCGAGCCCGTCATGTGGTTCCGCCAGACCATCCGGAACGCGTGCGGCATGATGGCCATCGTGCACGCCGTCAGCAACGGGCCGGCGAGGGGATTTATTGGCAAGTTTTTGTTGCTTTCTGCGTTTTTTTTTTTTCACTCCATCGGCCATATTTTCACCTTTTACTTTCCAGAAACCCCAAAGCTAACACACAAACCAGCCCCCGGCTCAACCTTCGACAAGCTCATCAAGGACGCCACCCCGCTGGCGCCCGCCGAGCGCGCCCGGCTGCTCGAGACAAACGCGGACCTGGCGGCGCAGCACAAGGCGGCGGCGTCGCGGGGCGACACCGAGGCGCCCGCGGCCTCGGATGACGTCGACCTGCACTACGTCTGCTTCGTCAAGGCCGACGACGGCACCCTCTGGGAGCTCGACGGCCGGCGCAAGGGGCCCCTGGCCAGGGGCACCCTCGCCGACTCCGAGGACGTGCTGTCCGAGAAGGCGCTGCTGCTGGGACCCCGCGCCTTCCTCGAGAGGTCCGGCGGGGACATGCGCTTCAGCATCGTCGCGCTGGCTCAGAGCCTCGACTAGATTGGACTTCTCCTTCTTCATGTGGTGGATGGGTCGGAGGCTAGGGGTCACTTATGGGGAGACTAGCTGGCCGCAATATCCGGACCTATCTTTTTTGGACCGTACTGGGATTCTAGCAAAGCATTCTATCTAAGTCTTATTGGTCGGGGCTGATTTGTAGGTCTCTCACCACGGCTCACGGAACAACATAATAATACAATAAAAAGATAAAGTCGTCAACACCCGAGCACACTCTCATAGGTTTGTCAAAGTTGTCCCCGTACGGCAAGGAGGACAATGGCTATGCCTTCTCCTATTTTAGCTCCGCCACCTACAGACCATTGTCTGCATCCGTGGGCGAGGACGCAGGGGGCCCGCTTGCAGGTCGCATCAGTTGGCCGCCTTCCGACTTGCGCCGTGTCTGAAGGCTGACATCATCTGGCTGGTGCGAATCTTTGCGAGCTAGAGAGACTGGTTAGCTTCAATAATCTCTCCATACACCCCTCCCCTAACCAGGCACCTAGGCAGGTAATAAGGGGTAGGGAATGAGCAGCAAACTCACCAATGTCTTGATCCTCGGCCGATTCGGCGATCCCAGCCTCGTCGGCGGCCGGGGCGGGGCGCTGGTACGGCATCCTGGCAAACATGCTCGTGCGCCGACGTTGCTGCTGACTCTGGCCGTCCGCGACATCCGAGACATCCGCGACGGTCATGGTCGGGCAGAAGGTGGCCGCGGCGGCCCTGGGCGGCACCGGCGGGGCGGAGCCTGCCACCGCCAGGCCGGCGTCGCCGTGCGGGTTGTCGTCGTAGGCCCCCATCTGCGGCGCGATGGCGCGGTCCTACTTGGCGCCGGACGCGCGCGAGGGGGGGTTGCCCCCGGCCGGGGCAGACGGGGCCGCAGACGCCGCGTGGCTGTCGTCGCTGTCCTCGTCGTCGCCCGCGCCCCAGTCGTGGTACTCGGTGGTGGTCGCGGCGGCGTCGGCCGGCTTGTCGGCGCTGGCCTGGTCCTCGTCCCGGGCGGGCGAGGTGGGCTGGCCGACCGGGGTGACAGCGGGCGCCACCGTGCCCTGGGGCTGGCCCAGGGAGGCGTCGTCCGAGGTGTAGTCGGCTCTGTTCTTGGGCGCCCGCTGGACGCCGGAGCTGCTGCTGCCCGTGTCGGCGGCCTCCTTGATGACGTCCAGGAGGGACTTGCCCTTGTTGGCCTGCGAATCCATTATGGGTGCTCCTGGGGGTGGCTTTGCTTGTGGTGGACAGTTGGCAGACACTTGGAGGTGGGACGGCGTCTCTCCGATGAGCAACGAGGCGAGACAAGGTTGGAATCTGGGAGTTGATTCGAATCTGCTGCTGGGTACAGTCATACAATAATTAGGGGTATGGATTCAATGGATAGCTGTACGCTGCTCGGTTGTACGAGGATGAAGAGAATATGTGGTTGAGTGATACGTAGAAGTTGAGCTGGACGGACCGTCAAGAAAGCCCCTTATTTTCCCACTTCGTTCAGTTCCGGATCCTCCTTCCACGACAGGGCATGATAACGTATTGCTCCTTTCCACTGGGGTCACCATTGGAGAAAGCACCTTCCGGCTCTGTCAACCTAGCTTCACAACCGACTTCCAGCCTCGGGAGTGACGATGTGTCGTGGAGCGGCTTCTCTTGAACAAAATGTCAGTTTCCACGTGGCTGCGTATACAGCACCTGGTAGATGAGTGACCAAGATTGCACCGCGATCCGTTCATTAGACGATTACTAAAAAAGAAAAGAAAAAAAAAAATGAATGGAACCCCCCAAGGGACTTCATTCTCGGCTCGTCCCAACATCAGCGACGGGTCCGGGTTTCTTCGAAACAAACCGGTCCTGGGCACGGGCGCTGCGCTTAGGTCAACAGCGCCTGAGCGTGCAGATAGGCACAGATTGGGTGCCCCCCTGTGACCCCTACGACTTCTTGTTGTGGTGGGAAAATGCAACCATCGAGTCCGAGCATTCCTGCACGTGCGGGCGTGGCCTTGCGGAGTGTTTTCGATCTGGGAGGGCACGGTCTAGCCTGAAAGTCAAATGCAAGTCAAGCGCAAGCAGCTGCAGCACCAACGCACGCACGCAGGGAAATCTCCACCGGCCATCAACGGCTGCCCGTCCCCCCGTTTGATCCAACGTGTGCAAGTGCAATGCTTTCAGCCGTGGTGTGGTGTGGTGTCAAGTCGAGCCCATGGCAGTTGGAGCCGGTGCTGGTGCTGGGGGAAGGTGCGACAAACGGCTCGCTATTGCGTAGCTGCAGTTTTTTTTTTTTTTTTTCGTGGCTTGGGCCAGAGCTTGCGCTTCGGCTGATGGCGCCAAGGCTGTTGTCCCTCCCCTTTTTGGTGTTTGGCCTTTGGGGCACCGACTCGCAGCCTGTGGAAGTGACGTGCCTCAGTCCATGCTGCAAGCACTTTCCTCGAGAGGGACCCGTCGGCCAATGTGTCATTTTCAGCCTTCCCGTGAACAAAATGAGGACTTTCAGGTTGTGCTTGGCAGTGAGAAGCTGTGCAAGGGAGCCAAGTGATTCAATGATTGAAAGCGGGACGGGACGAAAGTCCTCGCAGTAGCCCTAATTCCATGTCAGACTCGACGAGGCAACGAGCAAACAAACCACGCCCGAGTCTGCGCAGCTGAGGGCCGACCTGAGTCGCACCCGATATTGTTCGATTGGCACTATTGGCACGAGTTTTATTTGGCCGATCCCACGAAGAGCATCTTGTGCCACCCTCTTCTTCGATTTTCTCCAAATCTTTCTTTTTTCCGATGGTGGCTTTACGAAGGGATACAGGACATCACTCAGGCATAATTTTCTAAAAAAGAAAAATCTTATCTGACTGGGAACCTTGGGTGATCGTCACAGGGGCGGCGGACCGGACAAGGGGGGGTCCCAGGATCGGTCGGTCGGTCCACTCAGGCTCTGGGGTCCAGGGGGCAGGGCTGAGCGGCTGGGGTGCCGTCTGTTGGAATTCCGCATGCCGATCAATCTGTCGTCCCTTTGTCGGGACGGAAATACAGACGAAAATTTGAGATGGATATGGCTTGGAGGGTTTGGTCTTGTATGCGTGCCCGTATGGTAATCGCCAATTCACCTGTGCGTAAAAGCAAAACTCAGACGATGGTGAAGCGGACAAACCCCAAAGTGCGTCATGGCTGGTGGGTGGCCGTGGGTGGGGTGGGGGCAGGGGCCACTAACGGCACCGTGCGATGGATCTGCGGTGTGACGGACAGGGGTTTCAGTGCAAACTAGGCTGGGGTTGCCGGCGGATCGGGGCTGGTCTCTCAGCGTTTGATTTTTGGCTGGTGGGCCCCAGCAGGCCCCTGGCAAGTCGCGATAGGACCAACCGCTAGCGCATTGGAGCGTTGTTCCTGATTTTCTTTCCTTGCCTGCTTACTTTTTGCCTCGTCCCGCGTGCGCATTTCTTCCCGCATCCGCCCTATCTTAAACCCAATAATCCGGTTGTCGCAAGATCCGACGACGGGGCACTCCACTCCATATTCCAGGTTGGTGCCAGCTGATATTGATATGCACGGCATAGGTAGGTACCACCTTGTTGGCATCAACTCAAGCTGGCGTGAAAGCTGAGAGGTAGGAGATGGAAGGCTGGGAATTGGCCAGTTGGATTCACATTGAATAAACCGGCCGTTGCACAGGGTTCAAGTGCTGGCCGGTGGCTTGCTGGCGCCGCCCGTGATTGGCCACGAGTGGTGCGGCCACCAGGCTGGCATGCATTTGCGGCAGTCGCCAGCTGGGACCTGACCTTGGAATGAATCGAATCTAGGATAGCGTTGTGCCCCCTCCCGCCGAGACCCCTGTTTCTCCCGTTTGCTCCGAGTCGAAGTGGAGGCTGGCAGCCAATGGCTTTTGTGCAGATCCACGCAACTCTCCGAGGCCAAGACCCACAACCATTGAAACACCAGTTACTGGAGTGCCGCATTGGCCATTGGTATTGGCCCATTGGTTGCGTCCAGGGTGGTGCAGCCAGGCGGGCAGCCGGAAGGAACATTGGGAGAACAAGAAGCAAAGAACCTACCAGGCCAGGGCTAGGGCTAGGCCTGCCCATTTGACCTCATGCCCAGCTCTGTGGTTTTGCTTGACTTTTTTTCCTTTTCCTTTTCCCCCTCTCGACGTGTTACAGACCCGCGCCTCTAATGCCTCTGCTTCCTCCCAATCTCGGAAGCGGCCCAGCAAGAGACGCCCCCTTGTCCACCAGCCAGGTGCTCGATTTGCTGGGGGACGGGGCTGGGCGGATCGCGCCCATTGAGATAGGCCAAGCGCCCGGTGTTTGTATTGCGTCTTCCCGCCAGCCCTGGCAACCAAACTGCAATACCCGCCGTCTCGCGCTCTGCACAAGCCTTCCCGTCGCCTGCTGGGCTTGGCTAGCGCCGGAGTACGAAGCTAGCCTAACGAGACCGGCCGCCGCACGACCGCCGTCAACGACCCTCGCCGCGCTCACCTTGCATCGACCTGGTCGACTACGCCTTTTCTATTTCCTTGATCTAGCATCTCCTGCCTGCCCTTTCTCTCTTTCTCCCTTGCTCTTCTCCGCCCCTGCTCCGTGCTTCCTTCTCCTTCTGTCCCACCTGTTGCCTCGTCTTTTCTCCCACATTCCTTACCGCGACGGCAGCCATTGGCAATCCCACATCCCCCGCTTCAGCTCGGCCGCGACGCGGGAGTACTCTCTTCGGGACGGTCGCCACACAATCGCCACTGTTGATGACAGCCTGTCTTGAGCTTCTTTCACGGCTGCCTGCTTTGTGTTTTCTCTGAGACAAAGCTTCCGCGGCTGCTCAGTCAATAACACCGGAAATCGCGTGCAGCGACACAACCGCTACACCACTTCGGTACTGCGCGGCCGGCCTGGCCCGGATATTCTCAACCGCTGCCATGGGATTCCTCAGTCTCTTCTCCGGGAAGTCTTCTTCGAGGCAAACGAGCAAAGCGTCTGGCCGTGGTGTCAAGGCACAAGCATATGAAGCCACAACAGCCTCTGACTCGCCGTTTCAAGGTATGTCTCTGATGATGCCTTGCGCTGGGCTGGGCTCGAGACTGACCAAGTGATAGGGACATATCCCGTCGCGGGGAATGGCCCCAATATCCTGGACACAATGTCCAAATCGGCCAAGTTCAGGCATACCCAAGTCTCGTTGGGTAGCCACAACATCGACCCTGCTGCCCCAGCACCAACAACCCCGCTTCATGGCGCCAGCAGCATTAGCAGCAACGCCGATGTGCCTCCCTATGAGGGGGCAAATCCGGCGCCAGCGCCGGCCTCGAAACGACGGAACTCGTTTAGGGCGCCGCCGCTGTCGTTTCGGAAGCCCCGTGATCAGCCGGCGCGGGCGTCTCGGAGCGAAACCCCTGAATTTGCCCAGTACGGTGCCGGTTTCACACAGGTCTTTCCTCTGGCATATCACGCCACCTCCCACAAGCGGAACTCGTCACTGTTCAGTGAACTTGGGAAGTCTGTAGATGTTCTTGACGCTCATTCAGAAATATCCCGCGCGGATTTCAGAACCAGGGTGCAAGCCGAGGGCGCCAAGGACTTTGGTGAAGACGTGGCGGACAGAAATCTCTCGCACGCCACGTACACCCGGGACCCCTCCCAAGTCCAGGCCTTCTATGGTACTCAAGGAGGCAAGTCCCCACCTTATCGAGATCTTCCTCTCACTGCGGTGCGGCGGGCAAGGGCGCAAACCGATGCGAGCCCGCCCCGACTCGAAAAACATGTCGAGATGCCATCGTTTTCTCTCTTCCCTGACAAGGCGGCGTCAGAGATGGCGGCCGCTCGCGGAGCCGATCGGATGGCCAGCCTCAAGACCTACGTTCCTACGGGGACTGGCTCGGTCTTCTCGGGCAATGCGCCGGCCGAGCTGAGGCGGCATAGTATGCATCGGAGCGCCATACCTCCAGAGCTTAGAAGGCCGGCGACCGCCGGATCAGCCATGCCAGCACGACCTATGACAAGCTGGGACGACTCTGGCATCCGCGAGGACGTGCCACCGCTGCCGTACTATGTGCCGAGAAGGCTGGAGGATCTAATGGACAAGGGGTCGAGGTTGCCTGCGGCCGTGCCCCATTCGGAGAAACAGAGCCTCTTCCGGTTTCCGCCAGCGACGTACCGACCGTCGTCCTCAAGCAGACCAGGCACCGCCTCTAACCGTGGGTCAGTCCCCAGTTTTGCGCTTACGTCTGCTCCCGCCCAGTCGTCCTCCCCGTGGGCCAAGTGCACGCGGCACGCCTTGCAGCTTTCCGTCTCGTCTTCGGCGAGTGGTGGCTCGGGCGAACCCGTCGGCGCGGAATCTGCGCCGGCGCCTTGTCAGTGTTGCCAACCTCCTTTTTCGTGTCATGGCATCTCACTTGCTGTTCCGTGCCACTATGGCAATGCTGGAGGCCGTCTAACCGCAAATCTTTTGTACAGGTGTGAAGCCGTCGCCTACGCGCAGTGACGACCGCGCGTCGGCCGAGCCCCGCCGAGGCCACGGTTACTCGCGGAGCCGTAGCATGACCTTTCCCAAGGCCGGCCAGCTGGAGGAAATCTACGAACACGTACCCGAGCGTGACAGCAGCCTGCGCAACTGGTCCCTGACATCTGACACACATAGCATCTCTTCCCTCAGCACCAATTTCTTCGGCAACCGCCCTATGTCTCGGCATACGGCAAACACATCCATCGATGCCAGTTTTCCCACGTCCCATGCCTTCTCCAGCGTTTCCTTGCCGCTGTCGTCGGCCCGAGGCTCCATATACTCGACAGATCATCTAGGAAAACTGCAGTTGGTCCCCGATGGCGCCCCACCGATGCTGGGGCGCCAAGCGACAGAATGCTTCAACATGGACGACTATATCTCATCTGATGACGACTCATTCATCGCCCCGCGTCGCCAGAGGTCGCCTGTCAATGAAGAGGATCTGCTTTTCCGCGATTCAGGCTACGGATTTTCCGAGCTTCCGGGTCTGCACGATTCCCTCCATGACATCACCTCCACGCCACCAGCCATATTACACCCTCCACCACAACCTCGCCGGCGCCCGGCCACCTCGGCCGGCACGCTGGGATGTCAGCACAGCTTCCGAATGAGTCGGCGAGAAAGTCCTCCACGAGGACATCGGCCCATGACCTCGGTCGCTAGTATCTTCACTGCGCCTTCGCGTGGCCGTAGCCGTCGCAGGCGGCAGTCGAACGCTGCCGAGACCGCGTCTTTGGATCAGCAGGAGTACCCATGGACACAGTCGCCACCACGCGCTACCTATCGCAGCGATCATGGAAGCATCCGATCTCGGCCGTCCCATCGCGGCCGCAAGGGATCTCAACGGCTTTCCGCCTTTGGCTACGCCTTCTCCCAAACCGGTGGGTATGAAGAAGACAGCCACTACGCCCCGGCACCCGAGGTGCCCGTCCCCCTTGGACCTACTAGGTCTGTCAAGTCTGTCAAGTCTGTCAAGACTACGACAACTACAGACACGGGTCGGACGCTCATGGCCGGGCCTGCTCCGTGCATACCCGACTCGGGAGATGCCAGCGGCAGTAAATACAATGGTACTAGCAACTACAATTCTCCAAAGAGCACCGGCAACTACAGCGGTGATCGCACCACCACCACCGGCGATGACGACCAGAAGCCCAGTGACCGCCTTCCAGTCACCAAAATTGACATCGCAGCTGTCATACGTTTCCGCAAACTCGACAAAGCGAGGAGGAGAACGATGGAGATGGCGATACATAGAGGCGACAAGGCCGCCCCCGCCTCCTCTTCCCCTGTCCAGGAACAGAAGAAAAGCATGGTTCCAATGGACACCGCCCAACATGCGTAATTACTGCGAACTCATCGACTTTGCGGGCTGTTTTATTATTATTATTAAGAGCCTTGTCCTAACCTCATTCCGCTTGCCTCATGTACGAAATGACTTTGTGTTCTTCTCATCCCATTTTTCTTTTACTCTTCTTTTGTACATGAATATATGGGTGGTACTTCAGGCATTGTATTTATTCCTCTTCTTCCATGGCACTGAGGAATTCCAGTACCAATGCCAATTTGCACCCGGGTGCTGATTATGCGCCTGCGTTCTTTCACAACTATCTTTGCGTACGTATTTTTTTTTTTGACGGAAATGAAAACTGGGACATGGGAATGGGATGAGCGTGTGGATAGGCACGACGCCTTGGGTCATGAGGAATCAAGATGGTCTTCTATGTTTAGTTGCTGAAGCTGTGAACCAAAGCCACTCCCACTCCCGGGAAGTTCTCAACAAGCTCGATCTTTTCAAGTTTCAAATCGTAGCTGTTGAGGGCCATTGTAGGCAGCCATAGGGACTCGATGATGTTTCCTAGAACCGAGTGGCCCGGCGGCCGGCAGTCGCGCGTCGGCGCCGGAAAGTATTTTTCCGGCGTTGTCGTTTCGGTTCCTTGCTGCCTGCCTGCCTGCCTGGCCAAGCCTTTGGTGACGGCTGGAAGCTGCATAACGCTGTGGGATGTATGAACTCGTGCTTCGTCATCGAGTTTAGGTACTGCGCCTTGGCAACCTGGGTTAGGAGAATGATGTTTAGAGTAGTTTGGCAAAGGTGTAAGTCGCTTATCAAGGCAGAACTTGTGGCTTGTTCATCCTCAACCGGATATTTCTGTATTCACGCTGAAGAAGTCTGAGTGAGACTGCCCTCCGAGCGAGAGAGATCTGTTGCCACGTCTACCTACTAGATTACCAGCAGCCAGTGGTCAGCGAGGGCTGCGTCGGCAGCCTCCCTGCGTACGCCATTCTATCCACACCCATTCCCTCGCCCACCTTCCGAGCCCGCGCCGGTGGCGCCCTAGGACCGTGCGCCGACCACCCCCTCGGCGCGCCCGTCACCGCCGTTCGTCCCCATCGTCCTCCTCGACGGCCAAACCGCCGTCCTGGCCGGGCCTGCAGTCGCAGCCGGTCAGGCGGCGGAACTCGGCCGGGCCCATGTCCCCGAACATGGCGATGGCCTTCCTGGCCACGGCGAGCTTGGCGTAGCGGCCGCTGGCCGAGGCGGCGTGGCAGCGCACCTCGCCGTGGACGAGGCAGGCGGCGACGACCCGCGTGGCGCCCGCGACGACGGCCTCGCCCGACGCCGTGTCGGCGATCTCGCGCACGAGCAGGCGGTGGTGCGTGCAGCCGAGCTGGTGCACCAGGATGCTGTTGAGGTGCGTGACGGGGTGGTGGGCCGAGTAGGTATCGTAGGCGGCCATGTCGGCGAACCAGGGCCGCACGTGCTCGGCCCAAAAGGCCTCGACGGCGCCGTAGTCGTAGCCCGCGTCGACGAAGAGCGCGCCCACGTAGGCCTCGAGCACGTCCGGGAGGCACTTGGGCGGGTGCTCCATGTCTACCCAGAAGTTGCGGGCAAAGTCGGCCGCAGGGCGGCCCGCGTCCACGGCGGCCTGCTCGGCGCGGCGGCGGCGCTCGCCCAGCCGGTCGACCCAGTCGGCGATCTGGCCCTGCAGCTGCGTCTTGAGGCAGACGACGTGGCGGTGGAAGCCGAGCTCGACGGCGAGGCAGCCGTAGAACTGATTCGACACCATGGCCATCTTGTGCTCCGTCAGCCACTGTGGGTCGCGGTCCGGGAAGCGGCCGAAGAGGTGGTCGATACACGTCATGTCGAGGAGCGCGTCGCCCAGGAACTCGAGCCGCTGGTAGCTCGGGATGTTTTCGTAGACGCGCGGGTACGACGGGTGCATGAAGGCGGACCGCAGCAGGCGCGCGTCCTTGAACTCGTACCCCATCTTCTCCTTGATCCGCCGCGCCAACTCCAGCTGAAGCCGCGAAGCCGGCACCGTCTGCCACTCGGGCTTGACATAGGCCGCGCGGTACTCGGCAAACGACTTCATCGTGTGCGTCTGGCTGCGCGTTAGCAGGGTGACCGCCTTAACGGCCATGTCAAAGCTGTTGCGCTCCCGCCCCGTCAAGTAGGCCGCCCCGATGAGGGCCTCGCAGACGTCGGCGATGGACTTGTCCCCGAGCGAGTGCGTGGCATCCGCCTCGAGACGCTTTCCCTTGAGCAGAGTCAGGCCCGACGGGTACCAGGTTCTGCGGTTGAACGACTTGGACCGGATGTACTTCTGCAGACCCATATCGAGGGCCACGTTGAGCAGGTTCTTGTTGCAGATGTCCGTCATGCGCTCCACGTGGTACTCGAACTCGTCTCCCGCCATGAGCGTGAAGAGCGCAATTGTGGTGGCCATTTTGAGGAAGCAGTCGCCGAGGAACTCAAGACGTTCGTAGTTTTTGCCCATGCCGCCTTGAAAATTGACGGGTGCCTCGTCCGGCTCATCTGAGTTGTCGCTATCCTTGGTCACCGCCTCCAGGGCAAGGTCAGGGCGGATGCTCAGACCCAACAGGTTGCAGCAGTTAAGTGCGATCAAGTTGTTTTCGAGACGGTAGATGATGGCTGGGAAGTTGTAGGCCATGGATACGACCTCAACAGGCAGTCGGGATATCTGTAGCGTCTCCAGAACCAGGAAGCAGGTCCGCTGGGGCACCGCAGTCTCCGCGTCGTTCTGGTCGAGCAGATTACGACGAAGCGAGACTAGCTCGGCCTCGACGACCGGTGCATCCTTCCGAAGCCGTGGGATGATTGCATCACGAGACTTCGACCAGAGGCTGACACTGTAGTTCAGGATTGTGTGCTCCGCCGTCCGCCAGCTTCTGTGAGCTGGCGCTGGGACGTCCTCTGGGACCTTGTCTTGAGGCGTCAAGTCCCGGCGGACCCTGCTCATGAAGAATTTGCGGGATCCATCGAACGGGTCTGCCACAAACTTGTGCTGGAAGAACTCGTCTGGCTCGCTGTTGCTGTCGGGCATAGCGTTGGGGGTCTGGATGGCGTCGATAGCTGGCCAGTCAACTAGCGCGTGTGAATCGACCGTCTCCGAAAATGCATGCTCATGGCCCTTCATAACGGGCGCGAGGAAGTAAGGGAGATCCGCAGCGGTTCCGTCAAAGTCTTTGCTGAAGACGTCTCTAAAAATGCAAAAGGTGAAGCTGCTGAGGCCGAGTAGACCAGCTTCGGTCGTCTCCATCGGCGGTAAGGGTATACACTGGACGTCGGATCGCCGGCGTTTGGCGATGAACAGAGGAATGGAAGCAACTTGCGGAATGGGCTTTCTGGTGAGGAGGAGAAGAGGCCTCGAGTCTTGCAGCAAGGCCTCCGGGTTCGTAAGAACCAGCGCCGTGGCGAACAACCTGGAAGCAGTCCCGAGATCAGACCACATATCGGGCTTCGTCTGCATGTCGTACTGGGCCTTCTTCTTGGAGCTGACAGCGAGACGGGCGTTTCGCATCAGCGGCAGGACCTTCCTGAAGGTTGACTTGAGGTAGGCATCTAGATAGCCTGCCTCGATGAGCGAGATGCACATGGCATAGGCTGCTGAGCATTTGGCAACCGCTTTTGAGCGTTGGATGCTGCCCGTGGCGCTCCTCAGTGGCGAAGACTCCGGCAGAAGGACTTCACCCTGGAATCCGCCAATGACGGGGATGACGGTATACTCTGGCCCGAAGCTCAGTCCCTCCACGTTCACTGGAAGGGTGCCCACGTATTCGGCCAACACATTGAGGCTATGTTTGTATGTCAGCCTGGCACCCGTCTCAGGAACGACATAGACTCTCTGGCCTTGGTCTCCATGCAGGGCAGAATCTACGTCGGCACCGATTCTCTGTAGGATTCGATCCTCGGGAAGCGCAGCGCAGAACTGGCGCATGGTTCTCTCGTCGGCCTGGTGCTGGTACCAGCTCCTCATATGATCCTGATTTCCCATTTCCGTCATCTGAATGAAGACAGAGCCGGCCATGCGCGCACGGCCCCTAGATTGGATGTATTGGATTGTTGTCTTGTGGAGATCAAACCGGATGACCAGGTTGCATCCGGGAATGTCCAGGCCCTCCTCCGCGATGGATGTTGCGAAGAGGCAGTTGAGCTCCCTCAGGCGGAACGACCAGACCGTCGCCTCCTGTTTCTTATTGGAGATGGACGTGTGCGAGTCGCCCCGACCCGAGGCAATCTACCCGGATAGCCATCCACAGTCAGAGTGATACCCATCAAGCAAGTCAAATCCAAGCTGCTATGCCAACTTACCAGGTATGCGGCGTTCAGATAGGGGAACCTGACACTCATAGCAGGGTTCTGGACCAGGTCTGTCAGAAGCACGGCCACATCGCGACGTTCGACGAAGACGATGCATTGCGTAGAGGTCTCAGAGCAGAAGTTCTCCTCGAGAATCTCCAGCAGTTTGAGTGTCTTGCTGGAAAGGCCGTCATCCTGAGGAGGCCCGAGCGCGCTGTTTTTGACGATCAAGGCCGCCTCGCGCAGGTCGCCAAGTTGATCAGTCTCGCACATTTGCCATTCGCTGTTCTCGCGCCTGCTGTTGCTCTCGGCTCGGCCCTCCAGCCCGCTGTCGTCTTGGAACTTTAGCTCCCAGAGTCTGTCAGCGCACCATGGGCCCAGCTCGCTTGCTACAATCTTGGCGGTGGAAAAGGCCTTCTTGAACTGGCTGTGGGATCTGAGCAGAGTCTCCAGTTTCTTGCAAAGATCGGTTGGCTCTCTGTGAGGCAGAAAGGCGTATGGCACATTGCGCTCCTCAGCTCTGTTGCCAATGGCCTTGAGCAGCTCATCGTCGGCGATTGTCGCTATTTCGCTGTGCAGAAGGCGCTCAAGTTCCGAGGCAGCCTTCTCAATGTGTATGGTCTTGGTGTCGAATGGCGAAGCTGTCATGCCCAGCACGCGAGGCCGCGCATCAGGGTCTTCCTCAGTAACATAGAAGTCCTTGATGATCCTGGCGTAGGGGTGGTTCTTTTTAGTGTGGTGAGCCTCATCAAAAACGAGAAGGTTGATCTGCCGCATGTTGATGTAGCCTCGAGCAAGGCAAGTATAGAGGATTTCGGCCGTGCACACGATCACCATGTTGTCGCTCCTGAGCTTTTGCCAGTATTCAATGTCATTCCAGAGGTGGGTCACAGAGTCTCCATGGATGCCGGTGATCGCGAAATCGAGGTTGGAGTGTAGCTGTTTTGTCTGTTGCCAGACGAGAGTGACCTTGTCGACCTGTTGGAGATGAATAGGAAAGACCAGTCAATACGATAACATACAAAGAACCCTTGGTGAAGTGTAGGCAGCGTCGCAGTGCCTACCAGGAAGAATGTGGCCCTATTCTCCTTGCCCTGAGAGCGTGTCTCAAGCTCCTTCTCGATGATGTGTCTGATGAGCAGGATGGAGATCAGGGTTTTTCCGGTGCCAGTGTCAAGGACAGCGATCGTGTTTTTCTGCTTGGCCCTCTCGAACAGCTCGATCTGATACTCCCTGGGTCCCTCGATGATTCTCATTCCCTGAGACCTGGACGGTTTATCAGCTGTGGGATCAGACCCAAGTTCTGTGCTGCCTGCTTTGTCATTGGACTTTGCGTTGCTCGAGCCCTGGGAAAGGCGAACTTTGTTCTTCTCCACCCAGCTCTCGAAGATGGCATTGTCAGCTCGCCTTTTCTCGGATATCTTCCGAGGCTTGGAAGGCGCGCCGGCGACCAGCTCTATGCGGCCATCGAGACTACCATCATCGTCTTGATTCTCGTCCTCACTAGCGTCACCGCTGACATTATTGACAAGTGGAGTTCTAAGGCTCTGGGTAGCGCCCGCTTTGGCGGCACCGAAGTTCTCTGAGGTCGGTATTTGGTCACATCGGCCGGTTGGCGCCAGCGAGCTCAGCAAGCAGTCCATGGTGATGTGGGTGGGGTTGTTAGCTGAGGCACTGGTCGGCCGCCGGTGAAGCAGAGAGAGGAGGGCTGGAGTAGGATGGTATTTAGAATGAAGTCGAGAAGAAGCAACCATCAAGCGTAGAAACGAATCTAAGGTAGCTGTCAGAGACTGCCCACGAATCCTCATCAGGGTGGACTAATGTTTGGTTTGGCGAGTCTGCCTGAGGAGAGGATTGCTTGAGAGCAAACGGCGCCTACCTATCCCATTGCCGTCTGGGTGGTTGTGATTTGAAAGAGTGATGGTCACGCATAAAGGGTTGAAGTAGATGAAAGCAAACGTGCTCCTGCCAGGCTGCCTGAGATTTCAGATATCTGGGTGCGGGTAGGTACAGCTCTGGCTGGATGAGCTGGTCGAAGGCTCTTGCCTGATCTGGAGCACTAAGACGGACGCTGCCGTGCGCCAGTGGAAGAGAAGTAAGGCGGAAAAGAAAGAAAAGAAGAAAATCACAAATGATGAAATAGCTGGCTGCTTGCCCGGCTACTAACTCGTAGAACTCATCACTCTACTAAAAGAGCTCAGCCAGTGACGAGCAAGAGAAGATGGGAAGTAGCAACGCCTGAGAAGGCCCCTGCCGGATCAGATAGTGGTGGGCCGGTGACGTGCCAGGATAATCTGCGACCCACACCTGGAGGTACATCCCGGCATGTACCCCCCACCCCCGGAGCTCCCCTCATGGTAATGTTGGGTCTTGCATGTGGCAAACTCCAAATTCACCATCAAACCTGAAGCTGTGACATTGCGACATCCTGACAAAGCCACGTCGAAGCTACGATCAAGCCCAAAGTTGCAAATGAAGAGATAAAAACACGTTACCAGAGTAGAAGCAGGCAAAAAGACCACACCCCTCCGAAGCATGGACCAGGGAGCCAAAACCCTCGCCGACTGGCACCGCGAGGCCGAAGCCGGCAGGCTCGCCCTGGACGGCGCGTACGAGGCGAGCGGCCCGGACCGTCGCGCGCGGCTCGACGCGGCCGTCGAGGCGTACCAACAGGCGCTGGCGCTGATCGGCCGGGCGTCCGTCTTCAGCCCCAACGAGACGCTCGAGGACGTGCGGACCGACTACCTGCCCTACATGCTGGTGGAGCATCACCTGGCCAGCCTGGCGCAAAAGGTGCCGACCGAGGGCCCTGCGGCCCGCCGCGCCGTCCTCAAGGAGTCGCGCGCCCGCCACGAGCGCTTCCTGCACCTGCTCGACTCGTACGGCGCCCTGGCCGCCCCGCAGCAGCGCCTGCTGCGCGACTACGACGAGTCGCCCGCCTCCTTCTCGACCCTGCCCGCCGACCCGGCCCGCCGCCGCGACGCGAAGATCGCCGCGTTCCGCCGCGAGAAGGAGCTGCGCGCCAAGCTCGAGGCCCTCGGGGCCCGCGCGGCGTGGACCAAGCTTAGAGGGTCTGCGGCGGCACCCGCGACGGCATCAACGTCGGAAGGGGACGACGAAGGCGGCGGCGGCGGCGGCGGCAACGCGCTGGAGGAGGCCGAGGCCGAGGACGCGGCCGAGGAGTGGATCCGGCCGGCGCGCCTGACGCAGCTCGAGATGGCGGCCGACGAGGCCCTGCAGGCGCTCGAGAGCATCAACCGCGAGGAGGAGGTTCTGGCGCTGGCGCCCGAGCCGTTCCTGCCGCCGTCGGGCGCCACCGTCGAGGACGACGAGCGCCGACGCCGCGAGGCGGCCGATCAGGATTCGCAGCGGACCTCGCGCGTCGACCTGCACCGCCTGCAGTCCATCCTCGGCGCCGGCGGCGGGCCCCTCCTCGACAAGGGCGGGAAGCCGCTGCAGCCCTTCACCATCGTCGGCAACCGCGCCGAGCTGGCAAAGGGCGTCTTCCGGCCGGGCCACAACCTGCCGACCATGAGCATCGACGAGTACCTCGAGGAGGAGCGCCGGCGCGGCGGCATCATCGAGGGCGGCGGCGAGGCCAGCGGCATCATACCCGAGCCGGACGAGGACGATGTCGAAAAGGCCGACGCCGAGATGTACAAGGCCCGCGCCTGGGACGAGTATGTCGAGGCCAACCCGCGCGGGTCCGGAAACACGTTGAACAGGGGTTGAGGCTCGCACACCGCACCCCCTTTGGCGCGCTTTGGGAGGGACGGAGAGGGCCCGGTCGGATGAGATACCCGCAGATAGATACATGTGATACCCGTTAGGTACCCCCATTCGAAGTCGTCGACGTCAAGCTCAAGGAGAAACATCCGCTACTTCATGCATACCGCCCTCTATTGGTCAGATCACTGTCCTATGGCCGTGATATCACCTTTTCAAAGAGAGGACACCTCTTTTTAACCGCCGAGTTGAGGTATTGCCTAGACCACGCTACATAACAAACTCACTTGGGCACCGAGTCGCAGTCGCCCATGGGATCAAATTATGCCTACGGGTTATCTGACATCCGACTGAATACATGCCTGAGGAAATAGAGAGGCATACCATCTCGGTCGGTCACCCCCTTCAGTACTTTGTACAGCTGCGCGACGATGGAGACCTAGATGACTCCCTAGGTACGGAACAAACTCCAAACAATGACAGCGGACCGTTCCTTCGCCAGCGCAGACACCAGGCCCCCAAGCCGACAAAAAAACCCAGATACAGCAAGATAGCGGGCACAACCCCTCATGGTATCGCGCGTGTTCTTTGTGGCTTCAATGTGAAAAGAAAAAAGGAAAAAGAAATAGCGAAAACCCGAAGTCAACAATTTCAAGGAAGTGGGCCGCCCCGAGGTCGTTTCCCAGTTTCCCATCCAGATTACGCCCAGGAAATAGCCAGTAAGAGTGAGATAGTATGATATCGAAGCAAGGAGAGTAAAGGAGGACTGGGCTCCCTCGTATAAAGAAAATTGGCGCACCCGATTTGCAGCGGTCAGGTCATGGTCCAGTCAGACTCGGAGCTGCGGTCAACGTCCATCGTGTTCGTCGCAGATCCAGTCGGCGTGGCGGAGCCGCTGTCGAATCCGTACTCTCCCTCATCGTCGTCGTCGCCACCCCCAAAGATGTATTGCATGTCGCTGTCATCGAGAGAGCGCAAATTGACGCCTGTCAGGGGGTTCGGGTCGCCGGTCCTCGGGCTCTGACCTAGAGCCTCGACCGTGTGCTGGATCGCCTGGCCGACCGGCTGGTGGTCCGCGGGCTCGGCGTACCGGGCGTCGTCGAAGTCCATGTCTTCCGAGGCGCCAGGACCACGGCTCGATGGGACGGCCGAGGAGGGGCCCCGGTGGGCCTGGAAGGTTTGCGTTTCCGTCGTGTAGCTCTGGATGTCCATGTCGCCGAGCCCGAGGTCGCTGACGGTCGAGTTCGTTGTCTCGGTTCCTACCGTCTGGCCCGTGTGGAAGCTGGGGCCCGGCCCGGAGGGCCCGAGACCGGACATGGGCGGTGGAACCTCGCCCATATCGTAAACGCCACCGCTCCCATCGTTCAGGCCGCCGGCCCAAAGGGGCAAAAAGCGCATCTCGTCGTCGTTCAGCCCAAGGAGCATGTGGGATGAGATGGCGAAGTTGTGCTGGGTTGTGTACTCCTGGGTCGAATAATCCTCGACTGAGCTGGAGGCCCACATTTGTGCACAAATGCGGTTGCTCATCTTGTCCTCAAGCTGTCTGAACAAGCGGGCGATGTCGAAGTACTCGGGGATATAGTCAGTAATGTTGAAGCCCCAGTCGTTGAGGGCATCGTTGAGCTCTCTGGCAAGTCGAACGAAATCGATGTGACTGGCCGCCGACGCATGCACAACGGCTGGCCACCTCGATCCTAGGCGCCTCCAAAAGGCAGAGGTCAAGGCCTTTTGGTTGTCATTGAGAACATAACTCCACATGTATGAGAACCTCCACGTCCTCGGCGTGCCTTCGGGGGTGGTGCGCTGGGATGACGCGATGAAGCAGTTCATGCCTTGGGCGTACGAATCGATACTACTGAGATTTTCCTGAATATACAGCGCGTCCAAGACGCGCTCGCGAACGAACTCGATCAAGGCCTCTTTCAAGGCCCCGCAGGCTTCTAGAATGGTTCCGATGCTTTGTGACCTAGCCCCGGCTTCCAACGAGCTCTTTGCCTTCGTCTCGAGCAGCTTGAACTTGTGCCACTCGCCGAGGTCGAGCCAGTCAAAAACCTGGTCCGACCGGAGGTGCGCCACAGTTCCGAGAACGCGCTCGGCAAGAGCCCGGCCTCCATGCTCGATGGCCGTCTGGATCGCATCGTTGTTGATGTCGCGAAGCGGACGGCCAAAGACGGAGGTCAGGTGACCGCCGCGGGGCGGGGGCGAGGAACTCTCGATCTGCAGCGCGTGCTCGCTCGCAAGAATCCGGTAGGCGGCATGGGTGACTTCAGGGATCTTTACGTGATATCCCATGACGATGGCATCCTCGGCGAGGATCTCGATGATGCTTTTGTTCATCCCAGTGAGAAACCAGGCGCGTATATCACGACGCAACCAGGTGCTCTGCTCCGAGTAGTTCAACTCGAACAGCTTGGCGAGGCCGGCAATGGTAAAGACACGGGGAGCCGAGTCGAGGATCAGCTCACCGCCGCCTGACATCCCACCGCCGCCCAGTATCCTCCTCAGCAACCGGATAACGTTGGCCGCGTGGCGAACCTCGCAATAGTCCTCCATGGTGTTCCGGAATCGAAGCTCATCACCCAGGTCATCCCAGAGGCAGCCATGCAGCTGCCGGGCGGGCGGTCTCTCTTGAGAAAAAGCCGAGGGGTGGTCGCTCATGGCACACTCGCATCTGTCATCGTGACCCGAGACGAGGGCCTTGTTGATCCTGGGCGGCACAAGGGCGGTTCTAAACCAGCGCATCAGGCCCTTGGACAGAGTGAGGGTCTCAAGGTGAGACGAGCGCACGTCATCGTCGCTGGAGGGTCCGAGGTCGAGTATATACTCGATGCCCTCAGGAACCGGCTCCTTGGCCATCAGAGACGCGCGGATCCTGGCCTGGTACTTCTTGTTATCCAATAGACGAGGAAACAAGTCAAATCCGCAGTTGCGCAAGATGCCCGAGGCGAAGCGGAGGCGATAGGAAGGCGGAAACCTCCCGCCACTGCAGGTCCTGTTCGCCTTGTGCTGAGGGATGTTGAGCAAGATCAGGACGTCGCCCTGGCACATATCGCTGGCGGCTGTTTGGACGCAGTTGACGTCCATGTCGTGCATGGCCGTGGTTGTGAAGTCGTCCTGGGTCTGATGCTCCTTGGGTAGCATGAAGTTGACTGCCATGTCGATGGTTGTACTGGGCGAGGCCTGTGACGCATCTTGTCCGGCCCACGAAGGGGTCGTTGCAGGACGTTCGCAGGACATGACGGCTCGGAGGTCTGACAACAGAGCTCAGAGTGTCTGGTGCGTCGCTCTATCTCGGGGCTGGGATGCGATGTACCGTTGGAGTATTATAGCGAAGTAGGCGTTAATGCTCATGGCATTTTAAAGGTGGGAAGCACGAGATGTTTTGTCAGCCTGGTGGGCGCACACGCCCGGTAGGAAAGTATTTGATGGCTGCCTGATGCGAGGGGCAGTCCGGCTGCGCCAGATCGCCAGAGCTTTCCCTACTGAGCTTTCGCTGCTGAGCTACACAAGCAGTGCGGGCGGGCAGGCAGGCAGAACATAAGGTCCTAAGGCCAGCCGCATTAATGCAGTCAGAATGGATGTCAGACAGCCCGCCCAGGGCTGCCCATGCCCGGGCGGGTTCAGGGCGACCAACGTCGCATCTTTGATGGGATTCGATTGGCTGTGGTGTGCTGTGTCGGTCGCAGCTGCCATATTTGCCTTGTGCAATGAACAATGCGGCTTGGGGATTATTCCCATTGGACGGAGCGGAAAGCAGAATACAAAAAAGGTGAGGAATGAAATAAACAAAAAAAAAAACGGAATATGTAAATTTACATTGACCAAGGTATACGGGGGCATGTCCTTAGTACAAGCTAACACGGAAAGAAACACACGAGATCTGTGAGTTGCGGCGATTTAAATTGATTATAAGTGATGTCAATCGCAGCATCTGACAGGGAACGGCTTTGGGCAGAGTCAGAAGGGCGACAACCTTGGAAGGAACCTTGGGTTATTTACCAGAGATACCTGGTCACTTCTGGTAAACCCGCCCGCGCACCCTCCTGGACCAAGGAGAAGAAACCCCTACGACAGCCCTGCCAGCCCCAGCCGTTGCGATGCCCCACCTTGGTGCGCTGCTGAGACCCGTCACGCCTCGAATGCCCAACTGTAGGTTGAATAAATAGGATAAAGAGAGTCATCCCACGGCCGCATATCGTCGGTTGAGGCTGTCAAGTGTGATCGCCAAATGTGGCGCAGTGGGATTTCTCCGGCTCAGGAAGATACAGGGGCACTGTCCTACCGCACTAACAATTGATTCTAATCCCTGATTCTAATCCCTTAGGTAAGTCGCTGCTTCTCCTCCTGCCAATGTGCTTGCCCAACAATGGCAAACCCCGCAGTTCGGGTGGAGGCGGCCAAGAACGAATCATGGCGCTCCCCGCGTGACCCAGCGCAGCTCGGGAGCTACAGGGACAGCTTCCAGACCATCCCAAGTCGTGTGCTCCATGGCCAGCTTGAAGATGAGAGCATGCTCGCCACTTGTGGGTGCCGAGGCCCTGGCCCCGCCTGCATGCTTTTTCCCCAACATAGCGTCAAGTACTAAGTTCCTAATTTAGCAAATGCACAAGCTCGCTTTACCGACTTCTTACGTTTCCTGGCAAAACGGTCACGTCAAGGTTTTGTTGACCCTAATCCACCTTGGGGGGTGTTTTTGTATGAACTTTCCAAGGACCCCTTGCCTCTCCCTCCCCCCACATAAACATACGATGTCCCCAGACATCGCCTGCTTCCGCCTCCCGTGTTTCCTACCACTTCAGCCCAGCTCTTCTTCTGACCGCCTGCTTGGCGCTCGCTCGACCTCCTTGTTTTCTTGCCTGTGATCTTTCTTCCGTCGTCTTCCGCCTTCAGCGTCCAACGTGCTTCTTCTCGCCTGCTCCTCCCACATCGGCGACTCCTCTTTTACCTACCAATACCAGGCGGAACGCTCCCCCCACCAGCTATCGCAGCCCACAACCACCAGCTCCAAGCTTCCCGCCCCTCCAAGATGGATCAGACAAAGATGCCCCTGAACCGCGGGAGCGCCCACGCCATCGCGTATGTTGCCCTATATATCCCTCTTTCTTGCTTGAGAAATGGCCAAGTGCCAGCCAACCAACCAACCAACCAACCATGCCATTGGCTGACCGCTTCGCCTCCCCTTTCTGCACAGCCGAAGAGGCCGCGCCGCCGCCGTGGCCATCTCGGCAGCCGCCGCTGTTGGCATGATGATCAAGTACCAGGCCGACGCGATCAGGAATAACGAGCTCGCCCAGAAGACGTCGCGATACGTCAGCGTCGAGCGGAGCGGCGGGGGCATATGAGCCAAGCAAACCAATTCTTGCTGAGCAATAAACAATACAGGCTCCCCCGAACACAGCCGAGACCAGGGGGGGAAAGGAATTAAGGTCACGAACTACACGAACTTTGTTTTTACGTTGGGGGGTCAACCGGGAATACACATACGGTCTGAAGAGGGGACACCCCGGAATAATGAGGATGTGGTGCCGCTCTAGGATGTGCACAATCCACGCCATGACAGGGACCGCGGAGTTTGGGAGTTGGATACAGGTTTGCCAAGAAATAAATCAAGACTGATCATCATGTTGGCATCATCAATTGGAATCATGGGAATGAGAATACTGCAAGAACACTCTACGCGATATAAACAGTACTGTGGGAGCGATCCGAGTAAAGTCCGAGAGGTGTGTGGTACCATTAACGTCAACGCATGCATGCCAAACGTCGTAAACCGCCGTCCATTCACGGCTGCTAGCTGAAAAGCGAAAACGAAATTTTGCCGCCGGATCCCCGCGTGTCCCCGAGTGCCATTAGCCAACAGAGAAAGCAAAGAAAATGCCCCTGGAAGACGAGAAACAACAAGAAGAATCATGACGCCCCATGGGTGAAGTGCCATGCTGCAAAGAAAATGTCCCCAAGAGAAAAACCATGTGACGCGAAACAGAGGTCCGAAAGCTAGACAACCTGCCCGAACAGAAAAGAAATGTGGATGGAAAAGAGGACGAGCTAAACAAAACACGAACCAGATGCGAAAAGATCCATGCAGGAATCACCCATGCTTGCCTCCAACCCCTTTCCGAGGCCGCCAGGCCTCGCCAAATGCATTTCATTCCAAAGAGGAGCCGACCAGAAACCGAAGAAACAAAAAAGGGATGGACACTGCCCCCTTCACAGCGAGCTCCCTCTCCTGGTGAAGCTGTCATCAAACCCCGTGTCGTCATCCGAGTCGTCGTAATCAGCCGGGGTCCGAACCTCCTTCCCCTTCCCCTTACGGTCGATGGGGATCCCGCCGCCTCCGCGCCCATCCCGCATGCTCTGCCGGCTCGTGGGCCTGCTTTGCGTGCGGCGCATCGCGCGGCTCGCCACCGCCGCCGACCCCACGTGGGCGTGGCCGACGACGCCGTGGGCGTGGCCGTAGTAGGCCCCCGTCGACGCGCGCTGGTACCGCCGCCTCTCGCGCCCGCCGGCGACCTCGATGGTGGTGGCCAGGCCGGCGCCGGCGCCGCCCCTCCACCCGCCCTCGTCGCCCGAGTTAAAGGCCGTGCTTGGGTGCCCGCTAGAGCGCTGGAGGACCCGCATCTCGCGCACCACGTCGGCGAACCCTTCCTCGAGTGTTTTCATGCGCGCCAGCACCAGCCGGCTCATCCGGTCGCTGCTGTCACGGCGCTCTGCCGCCGCCGCCGCTTGGTGGGCCGCTGCCGCTCCGCGCAGGCCGCCCGGGCCCATGGGGCCTATCATGCCCGTCGCCATGGCCATCTGGGTCGCGAAGCTGTTGGGTACCCCGCCCAGCAGCGCCTCGTCATCTACCGCGCTCCCTAGCCCGCCGTCCTGCCCACCGCTACCCCGTCTCGGGTCACGCCCTTCGTTCGCGCTGACGCCACCACCATCGCCGATAGCCACGTCCGAGCTGCCGTCGAGGTGCATGTCGAATGACGACAACCGCCGCTGCGCCCGGCGCGCGTGCGTGTCTAGCGTAAGACCGAACAGGCTGCCGACGCGGTTGCTGCTTTGGTTGTGGTTGCTGGGCGCCGTGTGCGCTAGCTCGCGCGGCGTCACTATGGGCCGAGGTCGTGCAGCGTGGTAGACGGAGCGCCTGGGCGAATGCTGCCCAGCCGATGGCGTGGCCACCGGAGTCTGGCGGTTGCTCGCCGGCCTCGAGCGCTGCGGCTGCTGTCGTGGTGGCGAGCTCAGGGCCGATGCAATGCCCTCATGTGCCTCCTGGGCCTGCGGGTTGTAGAGGATGGTATTTGTCGAGAGGGTACGGCTGTGGAGTGCCCTGCGTTGTCTCGGTGAGTGAGGCAACCTGTCTCGAACGACAGACTCGGGCGAGCTTCCAGCGAGTACGCCGAACCTGGTAGCTACGGGAGTCGTGAAATAGTCCTCGTCGATTGCCTCGGAGTTTGCGGGGTTGTTGGTCGCCTTGTCGTCCTCGTCCTCGTCATTGGTGACAAGCTCGTCGTCGCCGTCGCCGTCTGTGGTTTCTTTGAAGTGACCCTGCTCCTGGTGGTGCTCCTGGTCGCTGAATGGGCCATCAAACGGATATGGCGCGTTCGAAACCATGTCTGCAGGATCACTCGCGACAGACCGCACCTCCGAGATGTTGGGAAACCGCCTTGGTGGCCTGTCTCGAGCGAAGCTCAGCCGTCTCTGCCACTCCATCCCTCCCTTGTCGCCTATCGTCGAGTAGTTGTTCACCCTGTCCGCAAAACCCTCATTCCGGTCTATCCAGTGCCGGATCGCTGTCTGTGTTTTCTTGCGCTCGTTTCTCCTCTGCGTCCGCAAGGTGCCCATATCAGGGACCCTCCGAAACACCTCTTCCAAAGCGTGATCCTTCTGGTAGCCTACGACGGACTCCTCGCGGTTCCGCACGTTGGGGCTGAAGAGTGCAACCCTGCTAGACGGATCGGCGAGAGAGACTGCCTGTCTGCGACTACGGCCTGGGTTTTCCACCAGGTCCGTCGGCGCATACATGGATGGGGCCAGGAGGAATCGCTCGTAGAAGTAGATGGGGAAGAGGAGGGGGAAGTGCGTCAACTTTATCACGTAACGATTGAGAGCAACGAACGTCTGCATGGGCATGCAGTACCTCAGAGGCGTAAGAAACCATGCCAAGATGTTTCCTGGAGCCACGTACGAGAAGAGGGCATCGTTCTTGACCATGGATATTGTGTTGATGGCGAACAAGAACCTGCAGATTGGAAGTCAGTCATTGGCCAGGGGTCCCGACTCAGAGGTGAGTTCGGTGGCGGAACTTACTGGTGCTCCTCTTTGGCGTTTGATGCAATGGTCATGAAAGAGTTAGTAAGAACTGTGATCAAGATGGTGCTGTATCAGCGAAGAAGGCTTGGTCAGTAAATGAACACTTCTTCCGACATGCTGGCATTAGGGCCTAAATGGTCTCCTAGAGAAGCGAAAAGCTGTTGGAGAGCAAGGAGCTTGGGGATGAGACTTACACAATCACAAAGTGGCAAATGATGAGAAAAAAGCCCATCAAAACTTTCCCCAGCGCATCAGTGGTCCCCCAGACCTCCCAGGCAGCTGGGGTGAAGCCCATGACAATCTGGAAGATCTTGAAGGCGACCTCGGCACTGTCGCCGCTGTTCTTCGACATGGTGAAAAAGACGAAGAAGCCGCTGCAGCAGATCATGACCAAGACCAAGATGGCCGCCAGATCCAGGGCCATGAGACGGAAAGCTATCAGCAGCTGTGAGAAGTACTGGTAGTGGTCTAGGACACTGAAGATGCGGGGCAACAACAATATGCCATTGGCGGCTAGGATATCGTACGCCAGGTCGTTCCACCTCGTGGCGTCGATGAGAAAGACCCCGTACAGCCGCAGGCAGTAGTACACTATCAGCAAGAGCAGGATTCCCAGGTCGAAGATGTTCCAGAAGCTCATGATGTACAGCGAGAATCCTTGCTCGTTGAAGCCGACGAGCTCGTCTAGCATGAAGCCAGCGCTCCAGAACCAAAAGACGAGCTCTAGGGTCGATATCCTGGACGACCGCTGCTGCAGAACGGCGAGGAATAGGCCTATCAGGACGGCAAGGGATAGCGTCGAGAGGAACTGTCTGTATCGGGGCACACGTAGCCTGGAGAGCTTGAAGAGTGACGCATTCCTTGGGTTATAGAGCGATACGGTCCGGCGGCCCACTACGACATCGAAAGGCGATATCGAATTCTCCTTGGGCGTTTGCACTCCCCCAAGAAGCGGGGTCCTGGCGTCGGCCTGGCTCCGGCGGCGTCCGGTATTGGTAGCATAGGTGGGCCCCGGTGTGGGAAAAGATATCCGGTGGAGGCCATCTGCAGCCGAGTAAAAGACAATAGCCCCATTCCAGATGGCCTCGAGCTGCTGCACGACCAGGGGGTGGGCCAGAAAGTGCTTGGCCGAGGCGCGGATGGCGACTTCGAGGGTGGAGGTCCTGGCGGCAACAGACTTGGACCTGCCTGGCATATCACGGAACCCCATTGGGGTCTGGCCCCCCGGTAATCCCTGGAGAGGGTAGAAATCGTAGGACAGCGCGTCGATAAGCTCGCGGGTGGAGTACTCCTTCAGCAACTTGATGGCCAGAAGCTCGCAAACCTTGGCTCTGGTGCTGCTGGCGCCCGCGTTCCCTGGGTACATGTGACCCTCCTTCTGGAACTGAAGGCAATTTGCCATGAGGGCGTACAGCGTGGCTTTGGAAAAGTGCTGGGTCCTGATTTGAAGCTGCATGGGCTTCAGTAGGAACTGTGAGACCTGCGGAGATCTCAGCTGCTCCCAAGTGAGCGTGGTCTCAGTGCGGGCCTGGACGAGGATGCGTATAGCATGGGTTATGCTGTAGACGGGCAGAGAATCTGGGGTAAACACCACCAAGTCGTGTTAGTACACAAGACCAGTCCAGATTCCTCCACCGTGGGGCGACAGGCGCTGTGTGATGTCGCAGACGCACCAAGATGCGAGGCGGAGAACAGAGGCAGAAGATTCCTGCCCGAATAAGGATGTGAGCCATCCTCGTCCCTGTTGTCGTCGTCCCCGTGGCCGTCTCCGCCACGGCCGTCCTGTCGTCGGTCGTAAGCACGCGGGGTGCCTTCATCGTTGGAATCGTCTTCGTCATCGTCGTCGGCCTCGGTGAAATCGGCGGTGGCATGTTGGCGGCGGGCGTATTCGGGGCTGGCTGGGCCAGGCGAGGGCGGCCTCTCGGTCGTCCCTGCTTCCTGGCTGCGCCGGGCGCCCCCAAAGGGACGAAGTAGCCTCGGAATCATTCTCAGACCGCGGCCTGCTTCGATCCCCCCTCGTCACGTATCACCTGGCCATGTGGTGGTCCTGTCTGTTGGGAGGAAGCTGAACTAGGGCGAGCCACAGAGCTGGCGGGGAAGAAGAGATGGAAGGGCGGAAAGAAGGGGGAAAAAAAAAGAGGAGAGAAGAGACGGCGGTGCAAGGCCACCCAGGACGGACAGCAGATGCAGCGGTCCCTGACACAGCCAACCAAGACACGGAATTATGTGACAAGCTGCACGACTGCCGGCTGCAAATGGTTGGTGCTGGACGGGTACAGGCGCCTCCTACCAAAACATTTTCGAGTGCAACAAAGCAAACCACCCCCCGGCCGGTGATCAGGAACAGCCCCAGCAAAACGTCAAGAGAAGATGGAACTTGGAGGCGGCGCAACAAGCGCGACGGGGTCCGCTTTTAATAAACCAGGGCGATAAGCCAGAAGATGAAGATCTATGCAAAATTGGCCTGCCCTCGTTGCGATGGGCCCGCAAGTGGGGGGCAGCACTCTGGGCACGGTTCTGTGTGCGGTTTGGTTAGTGGCTGGTCGGTGGTCAGTGGACAGCGACAGTGGCCACTGCTGATGAGTCTGGTGCGCCTGCCATCCATCGCATGTTGGCAGGCAGGCGCAGGTCTGCGGCTATGTGTGGTTCAATGTTGTGCTCTCCCCTCCGCGAAGCCCACACACACCACATGGCACCCCTCATGCCTGACAGAAGCCATCTCGTGCAGCCAACATTTCCTGCACGATATCCTCCCTTTCGGCTCGTTTCCTGCCACTTGCAGGCCTCGGCTGAGGGGAAGGGCGAGGGCATCCCTGCCTGCATACTGCAGCCAGCGTCCGTCTGACTCGGTTCCCCAAGATCGAATGCACCCTGCCGCTTCCGTATCATGTTTTGCGATAGAGGCGTGACTGGCCGCCGAGGAACCACGGGCTTCTGCCCTGATGCCTGCTGCCGGCCGGATACCTCCCTGGCCCGCCCACCACCAGCAGAGCCCAGAGCGCGAAAATGCATCCTCGACGACATCTCGTCATCAACCCGACCGAGGCCGTCATGTTCTCCAGGCGGGCGACGCATGACTGCTCGCGCGTGCGTCTCAAACGTGTGTGGTGTGGGATGCCAAATGCACGCTACTGCTGACTGCTACCACACCACTGAGCTCGCCTGGGAGCAATGGGGGCACGGCCTGTCACGATTGGACCCGCCATCTTTGGCGAGCAATGGCGGTGAATGTGCTGGGCGTGGGGAGGCGCCTTGGCAGCCTGCCTGCAATTGCATCACTTTCTCCCTTTGGACGCTCGGGCAGCTGGGCAATCGCTCCTGGCATGTGGCAGAACACCGCTAAGGCGAGGAAGAGGCTGACAGCATCAACTCGCGACGAATCAACGATGCTAGCTCGGCTTGCTCAGATATTGCCGACGCCCCTGGGATTCGAACATGGCTTCCATCCAGAAGTTCAACTCCGGTGCACGGCTGGGATCTCTCTCCATAGCCGCTTTGAAACATGTCGATTTGGGTGGTCAGTTGACGACGCCATCCCCAGGTTGGGGATAAAGCGAGGAGTGGGCCCCGGGCTATTCTTACGCAACTGTTGGGGGCGCGGCACGAGGATATCATGCCCTCACGCTTGGCCAGGCGGATCGTGTCAGCTGTGTCAAGTGATTTGTGTCTTTATTCACGCAAGATTGAAGCCATTTACGATGATGACGGCGGCAATGGTCACTCGATTGCGCGCCCCTCAAGAGCTAGCCAACCCTGCTAAAACGGCTGTGCCGAACTTGCATGCAATGATCCCCGCCATAACAAAGACAGCTGGCAGGGGTCAGCACTAGGCTGGCTCTGTGCTCACCTTGTTCAGGAAGCTCCGCTCTGCGAGGTGGCTGAACCGTGCCCATCGTCGTCACGCAGTGGCACATCACGAATTGGGCGGGTTGGTTCGTTGATCTGCAAACTTCGTCTCCCCTCCAAGCCAGATCTTGGTTGCCCAGCATTTTTTCCGAAGCCGGCAGGGCTCACGCAATAGGAACCCGTGTGGGCCAAACGAGAAGAGGACCCTGCACGAGATCTGGGAGGGCTCGTGTTCTACTAGTGAAGCGACTGGACTACCATACCACCTGGCAGTCACAAAAACTTGGCTCTTTGGCAGAGCTGCGAGGCGGGCGGTGGGCCGGCATGCTGCATCTCCGGTTGGACGGGCGAGGACTGTGAATTGTTCCCTGCATGAGCAGCTGAAAGCCCCTCCACCAGCCGCCTTCCATTGGGTGAACGGCGGACTACCGAAGCTCTAGAGGGGATCAAAAAAAAAATCTCGACCAAGTCAGGGGGGTCCCAGGCGTCTAAGACGGAATTGACCAAACAGATTTGAGCATGCAAGCTCGAATCGCCAATGATGGAGCAATAGGTGAGAAAAAAAAAGTTTTTGGCGGGGTCGGATCTCGGGTGGCAGAAAGTGAAACCCCATACAAGACCAAGAACCGCAATTGTCGCTGCTGCATTTTTGGTCCGCCTTTCTCTCCTCTCCCTTCCTTCAACGGATCGGAGGGCTCCAGGCGAAGACGATCGTTCGAATGCCGGGAGTTTGAGATCGTCGCACAAGTGAGAGACCAGAGCGAGCTCGGCAACCTCCACCTGTGCCATCTCCAAAGCTCGAGCCGTCTCCCCGCCCTTGACCCATCCCCCGCCAGCTTTTTCACCCTCGTCGTCAAGCTTTTTTCCTCTTCGCGAGGGGCAATTTCCCCGTAGCCGTCATGGCTGCTCGCGTGTTCCCCCCGGCGTCGGCTGGCGTCACCCGCGCCGAGGGAGAGGAGAGGCTCGTCTGCCTCGAGCTCCAGGATGGCTCCGCGTACCAGGGCTACAGCTTCGGCGCCCCCAAGAGCATGGCTGGAGAGCTTGTCTTCCAGACCGGCATGGTGGGATACCCAGAGTCCATCACAGACCCCTCATACAGGGGTCAGATCCTCGTCATCACCTTCCCTCTTGTCGGCAACTACGGCGTCCCCTCGCGCAAGACCATGGACGAGCTGCTCGGAGACCTTCCTGCCCACTTCGAGTCCTCTCAGATCCACATCGCCGGTCTGGTTACCGCATCATACTCTGGAGAGGATTTTTCGCACTTCCTGGCTGAGTCCTCGCTGGGCACATGGCTCAAGGAGCAGGGCGTGCCCGCCATGTTCGGCGTCGACACGCGCGCCTTGACCAAGCATATCCGCCAACATGGAAGCATGCTGGGACGCATGCTTCTGCAGAAGCAAGACCCCCTTGCCTACGGCCAAGCTGCCAACGGCGACGGCACCCTGCCAGTGATCAAGAGCCTGGCGATCCCCGACTGGGCGCAGCACTTTGAGGATATCAACTGGGTTAACCCCAACAAGAAGAACCTTGTCGCGGAGGGTGGGTTCACTTTGCTCCTGCTTGGGGCAGTTCTGCCATGCGCGCACAGCATTAGCTAACAATCATGCCTCAGTGTCCATAACCGCGCCGAAGCTCTACCAACCCCCGACTGGCACCGCTTTGAAGCACCCTTCCGGCCGCCCCATACGGATTCTCTGCCTCGATGTTGGTATGAAGTACAACCAGCTCCGCTGCTTCCTCAGGCGCGGTGTCGAGGTGCTGGTCTGTCCCTGGGACTACGACGTCTCGCAGGGAGCCGGTACTGAGTACGATGGCCTGTTCCTCTCCAACGGCCCCGGTGACCCTTCGGTGCTCCAGGACACCGTCAAGAGAATTTCCGGGGCTGTTGCGGCCAACAAGACGCCCATCTTTGGTATCTGCCTGGGCCACCAGCTACTCGCGAGGGCCTCGGGTGCCAGCACCATCAAGATGAAGTTTGGAAATCGCGGCCACAACATCCCCTGCACCAGTATGGTCACGGGCAAGTGCCACATCACCTCGCAGAACCACGGGTACGCTGTCGATACGTCGACTCTGGTTGATGGCTGGAAAGAGCTCTTTGTCAATGCCAACGACGGCAGCAACGAGGGCATCATGCACATGGAGAAGCCCCACTTCAGTGTTCAGTTCCATCCTGAGAGCACTCCCGGTCCCCGAGACACCGAGTTCCTCTTCGATGTCTTCATCAGCACGGTGGTGAAGTGTGCCACCGACAGCAGCTCTCTGCAGACCCCCGTTCACTTCCCTGGCGGGACTGTGGAGGAGAACAACAAGCTGCACCCCCGTGTCCACGTTAAGAAGGTGCTCGTTCTCGGCAGTGGCGGCTTGAGCATTGGTCAGGCTGGCGAGTTCGACTACTCGGGTAGCCAAGCCATCAAGGCCCTGAAGGAGGAGGGCATTTACACTGTCCTCATCAACCCCAACATTGCCACTATCCAGACATCCAAGGGCCTTGCGGACAAGGTCTACTTCCTACCGGTGAATGCGGATTTCGTTCGCAAGGTCATCAAGTACGAGAGGCCCGATGCCATCTACGTCACCTTTGGAGGTCAGACCGCCCTGCAGGTCGGGATCCATCTCAAGGATGAATTCGAGGAGCTCGGTGTCAAGGTTCTTGGCACACCCATCGAGACCATCATCACGACTGAGGACCGCGAGCTCTTTGCCCGCAGCATGGAGTCGATTGGCGAGAAGTGCGCCAAGTCGGCTTCCGCCAGCAGCGTTGACGAATGCATGCGCGTCGTCAAGGACATTGGCTTCCCGGTCATTGTCCGGGCAGCCTACGCCCTGGGCGGGCTTGGCAGTGGTTTCGCCAACAACGAGGCCGAGCTGCTCGATCTTTGCAACAAGGCTCTGGCGGCAAGCCCTCAGGTGCTGATCGAGAGGAGCATGAAGGGCTGGAAGGAGATCGAGTACGAGGTCGTGCGTGATGCCCAGGACAACTGCATTACGGTCTGCAACATGGAGAACTTTGACCCGCTGGGTATCCACACGGGCGATTCTATCGTTGTTGCTCCCTCGCAGACGCTCTCGGACGAGGACTACAACATGCTACGGACGACGGCGGTCAATGTCATCCGTCACCTGGGCGTTGTTGGCGAGTGCAACATCCAGTACGCTCTGAACCCCTTTTCAAGGGAGTACTGCATCATCGAGGTCAACGCGAGGCTTTCGAGGTCCTCGGCTCTTGCTTCCAAGGCAACCGGCTACCCCCTGGCATTCATTGCCGCCAAGCTCGGTCTGGGAATCCCGCTAAAGGAGATCTCCAACTCGGTCACCAAGGTTACCTGTGCCTGCTTCGAGCCGTCGCTTGATTACGTCGTGGTCAAGATGCCCCGTTGGGATCTCAAGAAGTTCACTAGGGTGTCTACGCTTCTCGGCTCGTCCATGAAGAGTATTGGTGAGGTTATGAGCATCGGCCGCACGTTCGAGGAGGCCATCCAGAAGGCTATCCGCGCCATCGACTTCCACAACCTTGGCTTCAACGAGACCAAGGCTCTGATGTCGATCGATGACGAGCTGCAGACGCCGTCGGACCAGCGGTTATTTGCCATTGCCAATGCTATGAACAGCGGCTACTCTGTCGACAAGATCTGGGAGATGACCAAGATCGACAAGTGGTTCCTCAACAAGCTCAAGGGGCTCAGCAACTTCGCCAAGAGCATGAACACCTTCAGCGCCGGCGATATTGCCAAGCGCCCCGACCTGCTCCTCCAGGCCAAGCGCCTAGGTTTCTGCGATAGGCAGCTGGCCAAGTTCTGGAGCTCCAACGAGCTGGCGGTGCGCCGTATGCGCCTCGAGGCCGGGATTACGCCGTTTGTGAAGCAGATCGACACCGTGGCCGCCGAGTTCCCTGCCTTCACCAACTACCTCTACCTTACCTACAACGCCACCGAACATGACATCTCGCTTGACGACCACGGCGTTATGGTTCTTGGCTCCGGCGTGTACCGCATTGGCTCTTCGGTCGAGTTCGACTGGTGTTCCGTCCGCGCAATCCGCACTCTCCGCGAGAGTGGATACAAGACCATTATGGTGAACTACAACCCCGAGACGGTCAGCACGGACTACGACGAGGCCGACAAGCTCTACTTCGAGAACATCAATCTGGAGACTGTGCTTGACATCTACCAGATGGAGTCTGCTAGCGGCGTCCTGGGTGCCATGGGCGGCCAAACCCCGAACAACATCGCCCTCCCCCTTCTCCGTTCCGGCGTCAAGGTTCTGGGCACGTCCCCCGAGATGATCGACACCGCCGAGAACCGCTACAAGTTCTCGCGTATGCTTGACAGGATCGGAGTGGACCAGCCTACCTGGAAAGAGCTGACGAGCTTTGCTGAGGCCCAAAGCTTCTGCAACTCGGTGTCGTACCCCGTGCTTGTCCGCCCGTCGTACGTGCTTTCGGGCGCTGCCATGAACACGGTCTACTCCGAGGCCGATCTCGAATCGTACTTGCAACAGGCCGCCGAGGTTTCCCGCGAGCACCCTGTCGTTATCACAAAGTACATCGAAAATGCCAAGGAAATCGAGATGGACGCAGTTGCAAAGGATGGCAAGGTTGTCGGCCACTTCATCTCAGAGCACGTCGAGAATGCCGGTGTGCACTCGGGAGACGCCACCCTGATCCTACCCCCACAGGATCTGGAAAAGACCACGATCGAGCGGATCGAGGAGGCGACGCGCAAGATCGCCGACGCACTCAACGTCACGGGCCCGTTCAACATCCAGTTCATCGCCAAGGACAACGACATCAAGGTCATTGAGTGCAACGTCCGCGCCTCGCGTTCGTTCCCCTTTGTGTCCAAAGTCATGGGCGTCGACCTCATCGAGATGGCTACCAAGGCCATCATGGGGTTGCCTTTCGAGGAGTACCCCGATGTGGACAGGAACGCCGAGTGCGTTGGTGTCAAGGTGCCCCAGTTCAGCTTCTCCCGTCTTTCGGGAGCTGACCCTGTGCTTGGTGTTGAGATGGCGTCGACGGGAGAGGTGGCCTGCTTCGGCACCGACAAGTACGAGGCTTACCTGAAGGCCCTGATCTCGACGGGCTTCAAGATCCCCCGCAACAACGTGCTTTTATCCATCGGTTCGTACAAGGACAAGAAGGAGATGTTGCCGTCGGTGGCCAACCTGCAGAAACTTGGGTACAAGCTTTTCGCAACGGCAGGGACAGCCGACTTCCTTCAGGAGCATGGCATCCCGGTGCAGTACCTCGAGGTCCTCGGCGCCGAGGACGACGACCAAAAATCCGAGTTTTCTCTGACGCAGCACCTGGCCAAGAACATGATCGACCTCTACATCAACCTGCCGTCCAACAACAAGTACAGGCGCCCGGCCAACTACATGAGCAAGGGCTACCAGACCCGCAGGATGGCGGTGGACTACCAGATCCCGCTTGTTACCAACGTCAAGAACGCCAAGATCATGGTTGAGGCCATCGCCAGGCACTTTGAGCTTGAGGTGGGCGTGCGCGACTACCAGACGAGCCACCGCACCATGATCCTCCCTGGCCTGATCAACATTGCCGCCTTCGTCCCGGGGCTGGTGTCTCAGGGCAGTGAGGATCTGACTACGGTCAGCAGGGCATCGGTTGAGTCTGGCTTCAGCATGATCCGGGTTATGCCCCTGGGCGTGGAGGGCTCCATCACGGATGCGCGGACGCTCAAGATCGCGCAGGTTAACAGCAAGACGGGGGCGCACTGCGACTTCAACTTTTCTGTCTCGGCAACCTCAACAAACTCGCAGCAGATCAGCCAGGTCACGGGCGAGGTGGGCTCGCTCTTCATCCCCTTCAACCACCTCTCGGACAACATCAGCAAGGTGGCCGCTGTGACGGAGCATTTCGACTCGTGGCCGACGCACAAGCCGATTGTTACGGACGCGAAAACGACAGACCTCGCATCCATCCTACTCCTTGCCAGCCTCCACAGCCGAAGGATCCATGTGACCTGTGTCACGACCAAGGATGACATCAAGCTCATCGCACTAAGCAAAGAGAAGGGACTCAAAGTGACGTGCGACGTGTCCATCTACTCACTGTACCTGTCTCAGAGGGACTTCCCTTGCCAGCTGCTCCCGACTGTCGAAGACCAGAAGGCGCTGTGGGATCACATGGCCACCATCGATGTCTTCTCGGTCGGCAGTCTGCCGTATCAGCTGGCGCACACGCTGGGTCACAGCGTCGACGCGTCGGTGGGCATCGCGGACGCCCTGCCTCTCTTGCTGACGTCGGTCGCTGAGGGCAAGCTCAGCATCGATGACATCAAGGTGCGGCTGCACGATAATCCCATGGAGATCTTTGAGCTTCACGAGCAGCTTGGCACCTCAGTCGAGGTCGAGATGAACCGCCCGTACACCGTTCCGACGAGAAGCGAGTGGTCGCCGTTTGCTGGCCGCATGATGCGCGGGTCGGTGCAGAGGGTCACGTTCGACGACAAGGTTGTCTGTCTCGATGGCCAGACCCTCAAGGTGGCGCCTCTGGGCAAGGACATGTCAACACACAACGCCCTGCCCCTTCCGATGTCTCCTCCTATGAAGCCTGCTGGCGACAGCACCGCCGCGGCTAGACGCCACTCGATTCTGACGGCAGGCCCGCGGCCTATCCTCCGCCCTCGCGGCTTGGATTCTGCCATGTCGCCGACGGTGGGTGCCAAGCTGTTGGCAGACCACGAGATCCCTGGCCATGCGATCCTGCCATCCCTGGGTGGCGCGTCCTCTCTGAAGGAGCTCCTGGCGGCGCCGTCGCGATTCAAGAACCAGCATGTGCTCTCGGTGCATGACTACAAGCGCGGGGACCTTCACCACCTCTTCACGGTGGCGCAGGAGATGCGGCTGGGGGTGCAGCGCGACGGGGTGCTCAACGTGCTCCAGAACCGGGTGCTTTGCACGCTGTTTTATGAGCCCTCAACTCGCACGTCGGCGTCGTTCGACGCGGCGATGCAGCGGCTCGGCGGCCGGACTATCGCCATCTCGACGTCGCACTCCTCGGTGCAGAAGGGTGAGTCGCTGCAGGACACAATCCGCACGGTAGCGCAATATGGCGACGCCGTAGTGCTTCGACACCCAGAAGAGCACAGCGCAGAGGTGGCGCAGAAGTTTAGCCAGGTGCCCGTGATCAACGGCGGTAACGGCAGCAAGGAGCACCCGACGCAGGCCTTCTTGGACCTCTTTACGATCCGGGAGGAGCTGGGCACGGTCCAGGGGCTGACCATCACGTTTGTCGGCGACCTCCTGTACGGACGCACGGTGCACTCGCTGGCGAGCCTGCTGCGGCACTACGAGGTGCGGATCCAGCTAGTCAGCCCCAAGAGCCTGGCGCTGCCGGCCTACGTTCGCGACCGGCTCGTGGAGCGCGGGCAGCTATTGAGCGAGTCGGAGGCGCTCACACCCGAGATCGTGGCGCGCTCCGACGTGCTCTACTGCACCCGCGTGCAGAAGGAGCGGTTCCCGAGCCAGGAGGCATACGATGCGGTGCGCGGGTCCTACAGGGTCGACAACGCGATGCTGCGGCACGCCAAACCCAACATGGTCGTGATGCACCCGCTCCCGCGGAACGAGGAGATCGCGGAGGAGGTTGACTTTGACCAGAGGGCCGCCTACTTCAGACAGGTGAGTCTCTTTTTATACTGCTTTGCTTGGCCCTCGTGGGCTTGGAGCCGTCGCTAACACTTTACACTTGGCAGATGAGGTACGGCCTGTACTGCCGCATGGCGCTTCTCGCGCTGGTGATGTCCTAGGATGTCGGAAGCCAGCGTTGTTGTTGTGGATCCGTCTCGTCTTGTGGGATGAGAAAGGATACATATTCGACATTTGAGAAGTGTGTCATTGTCAGAGTTCGGACGCATTCCATCTGAATCGTTTCTTTTCTCTCTCTCTTTTTTTCCCCTGTGGGTATAGGTTGGTGGTAGATAAAAGTCGTTGTGTTTTGTTGCGAGGGTGGTATGCAGCAGCCTAAAGGCTCACTCCATCCCGCTCTGGCGTTTTCTCATCGTTGCTTTCTTTTTCTCCTTACTTGCACGCATCATTCCTGAGCTCCTCGTGATAGCCCTGTTAGACGTAAAACCGCGCATTTAGACAAGCAAGTGATAGGAGACGTGGATCATGGCTGCCGATCCATCTGTTATATATCGTATGGTACCGTATGTGTGCAAGCATTTCGTCTTGTATGCGTATGTGTACCTGCGTTGCGTTTGGTTGGGATTTGGCGTTTGGTTTGTTTTTGTTTTCTCTTCGTTTGTCGGGTGCATTTTTTCTTTCCTTTTCTCTTTTCTCATTTGCTCTACTGTATTTTCTTCACCAAGATACCCCTGTACTGCTAGTTAGCTCGTGGTCCCTTTTGGACTGGTTTGGTTCGCATTGATTGAATTTGAAGCTGGCGATCGCCAGGCGTTGGTGTCGATGTCACCATCGAGTCATGGGAGACAGCCTATCCTTCTTCCTCGTTCCATATTTTCAGTGAATGCCCCGCCCTGCCCGCAACTCGTGTGCTGCCTGCGTGGCGGGGACTTGGTCAATAATACCTGCTCCCTAGCAATGAATGACATGATCCTCGAGGGAATGCTCAGCTTGCAACTCGCCCATCTGCGCTGTCACACTCGTGCTCGCGCCTTGACCTCTCTGAATCACCTGTGTGCGCCTACTTTTCGACGAAAAATGGCCTTGTACCCACCTCCGGCCGAGGGTGAAAAGCTCATCTGTAAGTACACCAAAAAACCATGCTATTGCCGTCTTGTCCAGGGGTTGGCGGGTGATGATGAGCCCAAAGTGCGGCCGTTTTGGTGGCGGTGGTCTCACCTTGGATCGGTTGGAAACCCATGGCGTGATGATTGGGGGTTTGGTGGCTTTTTTTTCTTTCTCTCTCTCCCAATTTGCATTTATATTCGACGACATGTCTTTGCGATGACGTTCCGAGGTCGGACACAGTCCACCCGGACAGGATTCCATGGCGATGCGTCATAATATTCATCCCTCCTGCGGCTGGCTGACATTGGCCTGACATCTCACCCCAACCCGACACCGAGCACAACATGCAAGTCGCCCCATCCTCCACGGCTCCGAGCAACAGCCAGGCCGAGCAGTTCACGCAGCACGAGCTCCTGGGGCTCCAGCGCGTTGACCTGGACCCGACGTCGCCGATCCGGCAGTTCCACGCCTGGTTCAAAGCCGCGCTTGACCCGCCGGCGCCGCCCCCAGCCGCCGCCGCCGCCGCCAACAGTAACAGCGCCAGAAACAAGGTCGCGCACCCCGAGACCTGCACGCTCTCGACGGCCAGCCTCCCGTCGGGCCGCGTGAGCGCGCGCGTCGTCTACATGAAGGAGCTCGACGCGCGCGGGTTCGTCGTCTACTCCAACTTTGGCACCTCGCGCAAGGCCGCCGACCTCGCCTCCAACCCCTGGGCCTCGCTCACCTTTTGGTGGGAGGCCCAGGAGCGCCAGGTGCGCGTCGAGGGCCGCGCCGAGCGCCTGACGCCCGCCGAGTCGCAGGCCTACTTTGCCACCCGCGTCCGCGGCAGCCGCCTGGGCGCCTGGGCGAGCCGGCAGAGCGCCGTCCTGGAGCCCCGGGCCGGGGAGGGTGATGATGGTGAGGACGGCGACGGCGACGACGGCAGGGCGCAGCTCGAGGGCTGGGTGCGTGAGGTAGAGGAAAGGTTCGAGGGCGTCGACGACGTGCCCGTGCCCGAGTTCTGGGGCGGCCTACGCGTCGTGCCCGTGCGCGTCGAGTTCTGGCAGGGCCGCGAGAACAGGCTGCACGACCGGTTCGTCTACGAGCGCGAGGACGACAAGCAGGACGAGTGGACGCTGAATAGGCTGAGTCCTTGATATGGGAACGCGGGGATGCTTTCTCCCGCTCACTTTTCTGTTTCTTACCGTATAATGGCCTCGCCTTCGTTCTACCAACGGCCAAGGACGCACGCTGTTGGCTGGAACAAATGTAGACAAAAGAGAATGTGAGGGAGACCATTTTGTATGTATGGTATAGGGACCTAATCAGGGCAAAACAAAACATACAACAATGGCCGATAACGGTTCACTGCCCACACCCCCATTACTTTCTGCCTTGAACGTTTACAGAACCACCGCCCTTTGCCTCCGATTCTCATATTTTGGTCGCCACAATGGACTTCTGTCTCGGTACGCCAGCGCGCCGCCATCGCCGTAACGGACAAGATGCGTGTTACGACAGCCTCCCAGACCTCATTCGCTCCGGGGCACGCATCTGCCTGCTTTTGCCTCGGCGATTCGGACGACCTAACGTGCCCCCAACTAAGTGCTCCCGCCGCTTCCAGAAGCGGCAGCAACTTTCACGATGGGAAATAAAGACTGGGCGCAGCGTGGGGGAAAAAAGCCCTCGAGGTTCAGCATGAACAGGCTAGGCCTTAGCATGCCCCACGCCGTACCTGCCTACGCGAAGCCTCGGCGTCGATACGTTCTCGTGGCCACGGAGAGTGGAGGTTTTTGCATCGACAGTTATTGTCACCTCGTTCGATGCGGTGCGGTGCCGCCCCAGCCCGTGGTGGCCCTATTTCCACCTAGGCGCCGAAGCGAGTAGATTTCCGGCCCTGCAATCCATTCTTGTCTCGGTCGTTGATGTTAGTGGGGGAATGAGCCGGCCACTAGCATTGAGACTCTCAAGGGTCACCAAGGCTGGGCAACAGCCTCGTGGGGTCGGTGAAATCTGGGCAATGACCTCGCAACGGCAAGGGCGAATCAATTTGAACTAAGGGTTTCTGCTCACCGGCTAGAGAGAGGCGGCATCAACGTAAACTTTTGTCTTGTGTGCTTGTCCTGCGACTTCAACGTAAACTTTTGCCTTGTCCTGCGGCTTCAGCACGCCATCTAATGGGGTCGCGCGAGTAATGAGGAAGGAAATTACCAATAGACATACAGGCCTACCCGTTCCAGCAGGCGAGAAGGCGTCTGCTTGTCTCTATTGTCAGCGACTAGCCCTATCACAGCTCTAGAAGGATACGGCCAATGTTGAACCCAGAGGCTAATCGTTAGCATGCAGCAGCCAAGCAGGCAACAGGCCAGGGCAAACCGATGCTGAACCGGGCTAAAGGGGTTGGTCATGGAAACCACGATGAAAAGAGATTATGTTGTGTAGCCCAACCTCTCCTGGCCCCTGGTTACCTCTCAAAAATATCTATATAAAGCCTCTCCTCCCATCCCCTTTAGAACCCCTCGGAACTGGACACCCCACCGCTAGCGATCACGGATCAAGCTCATTCTCAGAGACAACCCTTTTCTCAAGACTCCAGCTCTTGCCTTCAAGATCCCCCCGCTCGACACCCCATCACGCACACCGACAATGCAGTTCCCCCAGACCATCCAGGTCTTCGTCGTGCTGGCCGGCCTGGCCTGCGCCGCGCCGCAGCCTGCGCCGCAGCCCAACCCGCTCCTCGAGACAGTGATGCTGTCCAACGGCACTGCCACCGTCGCCGTCGAGGTTGAGGCCGTCTCGCCCGTCGCCGCCGCCAGCGGCGGCGCCCAGACCGGCGGCGAGATCCACATGGGCGGCGAGATCGTCGGCCGCGGCGAGGTCCTCCTCGCCCGCCAGGACTCCACCAACTGCAAGGGCAGCAGCTGGTGCACCAACAATCAGAGCTTCAAGGACGAATGCACCAGGGCCAGGACCAGGCTCGAGGACACCGTTTACCGCACCGGCGGCTCGTAAGTTGGGGCAGCCTTCTTTTCCCTGTCTTGGCCCACCCCCTTTTCACCTTCGCTTTCCCCGTCTCGTCCCTGGCCCATCCCTGGAAAATTCGTGTCTTCGCTACGCGTTGTCCGCCTGGCTAACAGTCGGCAATCTTGTCATGCACGCCCCGCCCAATAGTAAATCCGGGGTTTGCAGCGGGACCTGCAGCCTTTTCGTTCAGGGCAACGGGTGCTCCGCGACGAGGGAGGTCATGAGAGCCGCCTACGACTCGATCCGCCGCGCCGGATGCCAGACTTGCGGGTCAGCCCATTGTAAGCCATCAACACCATTATTACCGAAAGTCTCGACACATCTTTCCCATCTCTAACGTACTGGGGCTGGACAGGGAACAACGGTTGTTCCATCACTATCAACTATGTCAGTGGTTGCAGCTAATCGCCCACTCGACCAAGGAGGGGGGCCTTTACAAACCTCAACGGCGAGGAGGTTCTTGCATCCCGGGCTCCAGGGCAGTACTACACATCTGTACAGTCTAACGTGTATCAACTGCTTCGATGGGGCGGAGAAAGCATGCGGTTCTTTTTTCAGACATGAGGGGAACGGATATAGGCCGGCTCCGGCCCAGCCAGAGCAGGAATGCCAAGCCCATATCGAGCTGCGATGTATATGGGATTGCGCAGAAGCCTATATCCAGGGGAGGGGGGCTATCAGGAGCGAAGACGGAGCGGTATTGAGCAAAATAAATCGGCATCGCCAAGCATTCCTCAGTTGGGGTGTCCCTATTTCATGTTGCCCCCGCTCATGTCGACTCGAACCCGCACAATTTTTTCGTATTGGTCGTGGCAGCCAAGCTCTTGCGCTCTTAGCTTTTGGAGTCTGGCATTGCTCCCCCATCCCGAGCCATATCGCGGTCGTCATCCTCAATCGGTAAAGTGAGCTTTCAGGCTGGCCCACGCCATGCGAGGCGTCCACCTCTCCGCCGCAGTGGGCTCCAGCATCTCCCAGACGGCCTCGTGGGCCACCAACCGCTCGTCAGACCGCTCGCCACGCGGTATGAACTGTATCTCGTGACGGGCCGTTGCAACGAGGCCGAGCCACCTCTTTTGCTCGGCCTGGGCCTTTTGGACGTCCTCCGACTGACCGTCATCTGTCGAGTACAAGCAGGCGATCCGCCGAATCCCGTGCTCCTTCACCGTACCGGGCAGCGAGAGCCGCCCTAGAAGGAAGAGGCCGACAACCCCCAAGGCCCACACGTCCCCCGGCCTCCCGCGCCGCCTGGTCTCTGGGAAATCGGGCGGGACATACCACGGCCTTCCGTTGGGGTAAATGAATGGCCCTGAAGACCATTGTGTGGACCGATTCGGCGAAATCCTCGCCCCGGGCCAGCGCAAGAGAAATAGAACTAGAGTTATCTCAGGACTCTAGATTAAATATGAGGCTAGAGGTAGCAATCACTCTCGCTTGGCCCCGCAAGACGGGCGATGCTGCCTCGCTCGAGCCCCAAGAAAGGATTCCGCAGCGTGATGGAGTCGGCAGGGGTTGTCGTTACTGCTGCCTAACCAGTGTTGCATCATAACCAATATGGTATCGGCACTGTTGAACCGTTGCTGCATCCCTCATGTCCTCGTATGGCCAATAGGTGACGATGCAGCACCACGGCTTGAAATACAGCTACCGTATCAGATACCCGCATAACCTTATGGAATATCTTGTTTATGTGCTACCCTATCCTCGAATCCCCGGTTCCCCTTCTCTCTCACGTTACCGGCTTGCTGTGTTGGGCTAGAAAGGGGCTTGGGGGTTGCGATCGCCGAGTCTCGATGGTGTAACGCGCGCGACCCTTCTGTGCCCCCAAAGTTACGGGAAGCCCGCCTGCGTTTGGCGCCTGGCGTCGGCTTCTCGGCCTCCTCCGCCCTAGCTCTTTTGGTGGGGGTTGCCGAACATTGTTCGTCCGCCGAATCGCTACCGCAGCGGCCTTCGCGCTTCGCTTGGGCAGAGGCGGGCAGTGTGACGTTGGGAGATGTGGGAGTCATAGTAGAAGACGTAGACGGGGGGGCAACGGCAGCAGCTGTGGCAGAGGACCGAGGCAGGGCCGAAACTACCGCAGGAGGCGTGTGGTGTCGAGATGGAGTAGGAGACCCAGGCGAAGCGGTAGATGGGGGGAAGGCTTGTTGAGACGAGGCAGTAGGCTGCGGCACAGCAGGAGTGGGAGCGGAAGAGACAACACGAAGGGGAGGGGACCGAACTCTGAATCGCTTCTTTTTTTTGAAGCCTGACGAGTCACGCCGGCGCCGTCGCTGGTAGAAGTCCGCTACCAGGGCCACGAGTGCGTCGAAGGAAAACTCTCGCGAGAACTGGAAGAAGGCGTGATACTGGTCCGAGTCTGCAAAACACTCGGAATGCATCACCAACTCGCCCAGCATTCGAGAATAGGATTTGGCAAGCTCCTTTCTCCTCTGTGTGGCCCGCTCCTCCAGCTTCGCGTACAGCACATCGACTTTTCCACGCGGCACAGCGTTGGCGATCTCGCGCACGTCGAGGTGGAAACATTCGAGGGTCTGGACCGGGACCACCCTGGTATTGAAACGCTGATACAGAGAACCAACAAGGTCCTCTTGTTGAAGCTCGAACTTGTGCGCTGGCCACCACCACTGATCATCCAGCGACCAATCGATGTGTTGGCGGGGGAAGTGGTCGTTGTCATCCATTGAGTGGAGGGGAAATTCGCGTGGATTGTCAAGATACGGTTTGGGTCGCTGATGGAGGGAGATTGACGGGTGGTTGGGCGACCTCATGTGTCGAAATCAATTTACATCTTCATGCACGGGTCAGCTGATGGTCACGTGCACAGGCCGCTAGACGACTCCATAGTAAATTGGCCTGACGAAGGAGGCGCATACTGACCACTGGTAAGCCACTACCTCCTCCTTCCCGGCAACTCGCCGGGAGAAGCATTCCACTTGAGGGCTTTGGTGGCCTCTAGATCTTCCCTGAGGAAGTGATAGGCTACAGGCCCAGCTCCAGCCCCCTTATTCTGTTGTGCGGCTTCGGTAACATCCTAGTGACCAAATCCGTAGCCCGCTGGCCGTTGCATCAGTTGAGGAGCACGCGCAGCATCTCGGGTGCCCACACGGGGTTCGCCGCAGCACCTTGGAGCATGCCCTCCGCCACGGCGACGGCGCAGAACTCCAAGACGGGCATGTCGATCCCGTGTTTGTTTGTGGATGGCAGATTTTACCACCTCTTCCAGGGCCCTCTTCATCTCCACCGGCGTTCTATCCGAAGACCCAGATATAGCATCCGCGGACTCAAGGCCCGTTCTAGTAGCTTCAGTTCTCCGGCCAAGTCCGCTTCGCTCGGTAGAGCGCTTCGAGATCGCTGTAGTATGCAAGCACATCGATGGTAGAGACAAGACCGGCGGCAGTGGCCTCTCTCTGCTCATGAGCGCTGACGAGAAGCTGGGGCGGCATGTCCCTAGTGCCAACGTGTAGGCAGAAACAACCTATGCAATTATGTTAACCAATCAACGTAATGGCTACCAAAAGGCAAGGCAGCCTGGCCGCTTACATCGAGGGCATAGTCCTTCCCTCGGAACGTGACCTTAAGCTACTCTCCGTCGTGTTTTGCACGGGAATCTTGCACCTTCTGAAGCAACTCTTTGAGAAGCCCAAATGTCGCCTGCTTCCTGTCTACCAACCCGCCCTCGGCCAATGACAGGAATTCGGAGGCATCTTGCAGCGGCGTTTATTCAGCCATTGTCACGGCAGAGGTTCGCGATACGGCAGGCCCACGACGCAGTAACCCAGCGTGCGCGTTGGTGATAAACAAGGATTTTGTGAAAGTGCATGGAAATGGAAGGGGGGAGCGAAAGGCAGGATTCGGAAGGGCTCGGCGTCGGGGTTGGCGCCTAACGCGGATAAAGCAGGCAGCCAAGGTGGTCTGTCAAAGTGCTCATATGTCGCCATCTGCGTTATGGGGCTGGAGAATGCTTGGTGGTAGGTGGGCATACGCAGTACAGCCACGCTACGAGGAAGTGGAAGGAGAGTCATAGGGAAAGCTATCGTTGAAATACCAGCAGGCGGATGCAATGGGAAGAATTGCTCGTAGGGTATATCCCCATTTACCCTCAAGTTTGGGCGTCACCTGTTCTTGTCGACTATTGCCAGGGTAAAGTAGGCAAGCTCTTCCATTTGCCGTCTGCATCAGGCCCCACGGCACGCACCACCATAAAAGGATCCGTAGTGACCGATCCGCCAAAGCGCAAGACAGTACCTCGCTGGCGCCAACACAAGAATGAAATACAGAGAGTGGTACCAAGGTAGACAATAAAATACAAGTGATGCGTAGCAGGAGCAAAAGCAAGAAGGCACTATGAAGAATATATCGTACAACGATGACACGCCCGCATGAGCTAGACCGCGGACAAAAGGAAAGCAGAAGAATTTATCAAGACACTACACATCCCAATTCTAGTTTGTCTTTCGTTCTCCCAAGCACTCCTCTCTTCTTATTCCTCTCCACAGACAGCTGCTTTTCGACGACATCGTTGAGCAGGCTTTCTTGGTCCGTCGACTTTTCCCCACGGGCGGCCACCACCGACCCTTTCTCGGGCTCCTTCCCGCTACTGCCAGCAACAACAGCCGACTTCTCCTGGCGGTTGGCAGCCACCAGCGTCTGCTCGCCGTCGACATCCAAGCGCGGTTTCTCGAAGGGCCCGGCTGCGGCCTGGACCTCGTTCATCTTGTCCAGCATCTCGTCGACCCAGCCCTCCGCCCCCTCGATCTCGCCAAACTCGGCGCGGAGCTCTTCCAACCTGGCCTTCCAGAACTCCCAGCGCTCGAGGCTGAAAGTCCCGATGTCGTCCCTACCAGCGCACAGGGTGCCCTTTTGCAGGCGGTCGTTGTTTTGCCACAGTGTTTTGCCCTTTCCATGAATTGGGTCGGGGTCCCAGAGCCCACTGGGCTCGGCGCGCTCGGCATCCCCGCCGGCAGCCGCGACGGTGGCCAGGTAGTCGAGGATGCGGCCGGCCGCGTGGACGATCCACGTGCGTGCGGCTGTGAGCCGGTGCCTGCGAGAGTACTTGCACGCGAGAAGGGGCTCCTCGAGCGAGACGCGCATCTGCCAGACGGCGGCCATCCTCAGCGGGTAGAGGCCGGCGCTGTCGACGCGCGCGATCAAGGACGTGACGCTGGCGTGCCAGTCGAGCTCCCACAGCCCCTGGGGGCTGGCGTCGACCACGGCTGGGGATTCAACAGTTGGATCTGCGACGAAGGGATCAATTGACTGAGGGCACTCGCAGGACTAAATCGTGGCAAGAAGAAGTTGGTGGAAAGAACATGAGGGCGATCCCATACTTACCGTAAGCATCTTCTCCGCAGCTGCGGCCGAATCCCGGGAGGTGAGGCCAGCACGGCTCGCTGAGAGTCTCCTTGTCGTTGCCTGTGTCTGGTGTGCCATTTTTGAATATGGCCAACGCTTCCAGGAAAATATCATGGACCGATCCCTCGGCAGGGTACCACGAGGCGACATAAAGCATCTGACTCCACATGAACCCGAGCCAATATTCGTGGGGTCCCTCTTGGCTGAAGACGTAGCGCTGTATACCGTCAACTACTCGGGCGACCTTGGTGCTATTGGCGCCCGGTGACAGCAAGGCCGACCTGAAAACTTCAACCTGGGCCAGTTCATTGGCATCTGAGTACTCCTGCTCCGACGTTATATCGGCCCATATTTCGGTTTCAGTCCGGGGGATCGAGGAGCAACTTGAGTCGGCCATACTCGAAGTGAGTCCGGATTGGAGGGAGGGATGATATCGATGAAGGCTAGTGTTAAGGTGAATCCTGAAGAGGTACTTGTGTGGGCGGGCTCAAAGATAAGTAAAAGAAATTTACCAGAACGAGATCTCCGATGGACCTCGACTGTCATCGCCGACTTTGTTATATGGAAACAAGCCGACACAAGGCAGCCATAGGGGGGGTTTTTTTTTGGCGAACACTCGGGCCAAACGAAGGGTGGTGCATGTAGGTCGTTGCCGCGCTGCTGTGTGTGCTGGGTGGCATTGGGGGCTAACGGGGTCCACATAATTGGCTACCTCACAAGCGCCAGACCAAGTACCTCAATTGCCGCCGAATATGCCTGCCTGCCTCCAGCCAGGCCAGACCAGCAGGCCAGACTGTTGGACCAAACTGCTGGGCCAGGCGGCTAAGCCGGGCTGCTAGGTCAGGCCATGAGGCTATGAGGCCAAGGCTATTAGGCCATGCTGATGGGGGGCCTCGCAGTGCGGCCAAATCGGCGCCACCGTTTTGCTGGAACTGTTGCTGGACGGGCGTTTAAAATGACAAAGGGTTGCGAATGTGGCCGCAGAACCGGCAACACGCATGGGTGTTTATTTCAGGAGTTGGAGTCTGGCCGCAAGCTACTCGCCTGGCCATGGGAGGATGTTGTTTCCCATATAAGTTAAGCCTACATGTACAGACTTCACGGCCTCTCAGACGCCAGCAGCCCCCCACCCTCGAGATTTGAGCTCGTCCACTCGGTTTTATTTCGCTGTTATTGACTTTTCTTCTCTGTCACAGCAGTTTCATTAGCGTTGAGCGCTTCCTTTGCGCCCCCCCCCTCGTCCTGCCGGTTTAGGAATCTAGATTATCCTCTCCCAAGTCTTGTTAATCACGTCGCCGCACTGATACCAGGGACTACTCACCATGGGCTGCTCTCCTAGCAAGGTCGAGTCGGAGACCTCCGTAGGCCATCCTCCTGCGGCTGATATCGGCAGCAGCACCGAGCATATCATCACACTGCCACCTGTGGCTCACCCGAGACCGGACGCCACGGCCACGGCAACGAGCCAAAGACACCACAGGAATACGCTCGGGATGTCACAGCGACCGCAGCCGCGGCCATTACGGAGGCCCATGCCACCGGACCGCCGAAACGAAAATACCCCAGTTCTTACTGCGACAACGAGAAGACCATGCCGTTCTCGCAGGATCCCAGCTCGGCGAGACCCGCCGAGGGAATACCGCCACACTACATGCACATCCCGCACGTCAGGGGAAAGGTCCCCGGCCGTATCGGTCCAGCAATCATGTCAAGGATGGTAAGGCGGGAGTGTGGTGGGCGGCTTATACCGACGGCGATCGAACGCGCATGGAGGCCATCTTCCACGACCCACGCCAGCCAAAGGATTCCAGAGGAAACGCGGCCTTCTCCAGGGCTCAATACGTCCCGGCAGCAGGGCGGACGCCGGTGCGTACTTGAAGCGGTCTGGGAATTTGATGTCAGAGGAGTTCGTTCTTGTCGTGCCAAATCGCGACTGTACTACTACCTATCTAAGGTATCATGCTGGGCGTGATTGGGTCATAATTTACATAAGCCTATGTAGTCGAAACTTCCATGTAAGCCAGAGCAAGACACGATGGGATTTGATATACTCCCTATTCCCCACGCCACTCAGCACGTCAGCTTCGACCCGCGGCCCATCTCCTCCTCTAACTGCGCCATCAGGCCATCCATCTCAACGTCCAGCTCGACCTTGTTAGCCCCTCCTTGTGCTTTTCGAAATCCAGCATGACCACTCTCTTGTCCCTGCCCCCGCCTCCACCCTCAGCCCCATGGAGGACCAGGAAGTTGTGCCGGCTGGTGTCGTCGTGCAGGATCCCCATGGCGTGCAGCCTGCAGAGCGCGGCCGAGCAGGCCGCCAGGTCCCCGGCGCCGACGTGGCGCCCGCCCTCGACCCGCTCCAACAGCATTCCCACGACCCGCCCCGCTTTCGTGGATCGTGGCCAGGAACCGCGACGCGAGGCCGGTGCCCTCGAGGAGCTGGTAGCCCCTCCGTCTCGCTCTCGATGTGTGGAATCCCCCACCCGAAACGGGCCGACTTTGCGACTCTTGGAGGGCCCGCGACGGCGGTTCTGTGGCCGTTTCCGACGAGACCATCGTCTCTATTGCCGCGCAGGGTTCAGCTGTAAAGCTGCAAGAGGACGCCCCAAGTCTTTTCGGGATGCAGAAGGTCCATCATCTCCAGGTGCCACACGTCCTTGGCGCCGGCCATGGCGGGCCATGACAGCGGCTCCTCGAGCCCCAAAAGATGTCGAGATACTTGACTGCCAAGCCGGCGCGGATACGGTAGCTGCCGTCTCAGAAATTCAGCGAAATGATGCCTGGGGGTCCAGCAAGGACATGATGACTTATGCATCATGCGTGTGCTAATGCCAGAAACCACAGAAGTGATCAAGCCAAAAAGAAAAAGTGGAGTCGATAGTGTGTACAACGTCTGCATTAAGCGGTTTAGTTCCATGCGTGGCCCGACGGAATGCAGTAAAATCATCCCGATAGGTACATACATGTACTTGGAGGTGGCACATGTATGCTGGCAGCCACCCGGCGGCCGGGACTGCCTGCACCGCGTGGGCTCGCCGTGTTCCCTCCATGACGCGGATCAAATAAGAACACTACACTGGGTATTCACGCACGCAGGACTCCCGCCAATGTGGTTCGCTTGCCCGAGGGTGGTAAGACGCGGGGCAGGCTGCATGACCACCACACAAATAACCCCTCAAATCGGAGGTAAGGCAGCACTCTCTAAACACATTAGTGCACCGCCTGCCTGCATAAGGCAGTGCTGGGCACTTTCAGGGTGGCAGACAACTCTCGTGCAGTCCCCTCACAATCCCTTTTTTTCTTCCCTCTGCCTTCATTTTTTTTTTTGCGCACGCTCGCCACGACGTGTATCAAGCTTCTGAGCACACCGTCGACCCACCCTTGCCTACCTACTTTCGTCTCGATCCCTTCTCATTTCCTACAAACGTAAGCGCAATGGAGCCAGTATCTGCTGTGGTCGGGGTCTTCTCTTTGGCGGCCGAAGTTGCCTCCATCGCCGCCAAGCTGAAGGCAGTCATAGCGTCCTACAGAGGGGCCCCATCGGAGGCCGCGCGACTGAGCGATACCCTCGCCTTTCTCGAGGGCATCTGCCTCGCCATCGATCGAGAGCTGCAGAGGTCCTCGGAAAGCGCAACCCGCGCGAGCAGGGGCGAAATGCACAGCCTAATCCGCAGCGCCCTGGAGCCGTGCCGTGCCAAGTTGGCCGAGATGGACAGGTCTCTCGCCGCCTTGGGAAGCGGCTCGGATGTGAAGTCCCGTCTCAAGTTCGCCTATGGGAAGGACGCAATCAAGGAAATGAACGGCGATCTGGACCGTCTAGTGTCGAGACTGCAATTTTCTATAGGGGCAGATGTCTGGTAGGTCTAGCCAGCAACCCGACCGAGCCCCCCCCCCAAAAACCTGTATCTAGCCGACTCTAAGCTGAAGGAAGCTGGCTGACTGCTCTAGGATCTGCCGACTTGACACCGTTACCAACGCTCCCGGCGTGGGCCTATGCGACAACCATGTCGCGCGGTATTCGTCCACAGCAGCTCCATTGCCGCGCTCCAGTGTCGGCGCGCCCACTTCCGCGGAACTGACGCCGGGCTCTGTGCGCCCGGTTGTCTCTCGGACAACCCAGCAGATCCAGTGGTACCGCGGATTCCTCGGACAGGTTGAGCAGAAGAAGACGATGAAGCGGACCAGGTGGCCAGAGGCTTTTGACCGAGGCGTGGTTGATGAACACACAGTGGTTTCGCTGTCAACCCCCTGGCTACCCTACCGGCTCGGTCTTGAGCTACGGAAGACGGCATCAACAACGCTTTCCTATGCGCTCAACATCACGCATATTATCGATTTGGAATCACCTCTTGGACAAAAGCTCCACAGTATCTTCATTGGATTCGGTAAGAATGAGACTGCAAAGCTGCGGCAGCTACAATATTCTCTTTCCAATGGAGAGCTCTCTCTTTACTCGGTCATTCGGCTGAGGTCGGGCCGAGAACAGACCCTACTGCAGGTATGCCGGCCTATCACACTCCAACTCGTGCATCACGGGGCTCAAGCTACATACACACTTGTGGCGATAGACTGAGCAAAGACAGCGGGCCATAAACTGCAAACTACCGCTCTTCTGCGCGTTCCTCTTCGACAACGACCCGCAGGGCAGAATGCTGCAAGAGTGAGGAGGCCAAGCAAAAATCCGACTCACTGGCCAGGCTGGACCGTACTAACTGAAGATTTTGGTCAGGACTGATCCAACTAGGCTCGAATTCTCCTGGGGAGCAACTGATGCGCAAGACAAAGCTGCGGACAAGATCATTAGCAGATACTTCACCGCGAAGCAGGACATCCTTGTCGTGGATGCGTTTACGTTTCTCAGCAACATATTTAGTGACCCGGCGTCCTTACTCTGGACCTTCCGCCACCTCTTGCCGTACTCGGGCCACGACTCAGCAGAGTTTATAAAACTGGCATGGTCGATCAGCGCGATCCGATATGTCACGGTTTTGGACTTTGACCCCATCCATCCTGACCAGTCCAGGCGTTTAGCCCTCCGAAGGAGCCTCTGGTATCCTTTATTTCGGAAGCTCATCCGCAGCGGAGCCGATGTGCATGGTGGCAGGGCTTATTATCGAATATTAGACAGGCAGAAATGCCCCTTCCAGGTGGTGGATGACGTGCGGGAATGGCTTTCCATGCTAATGAACTGCGGAGTGGATATTCCCTCATACCTCCAAAGGGAGCGTTACGAAGTCTTCCAGACATGGGATATTAATAGGGATTTTTACGATCGGCACTTACTATGTTGGAGGGGTTTGACGACGATGGATTTCCTTGGTTACGACGCCCCTGTGTGGATACGGATCACGGATCCTTCAAGCCACGCAGCGGAAGTATTGGGAGAGTTCATAAATGTGGGGGGCGACTTGTTCCATTGGGATATGTCCGTCATTGGAGGTTTGGATGAATGGGATTATGAGCGGCTGCAGAGTGAAGAGTGGCCTCTGGTTCGGAGCTTCAAAACTATCGCGGCCTGGTGCATGGAAGAGGCAAACACCAATGGGTGGCCATCCGACTATAGGAAAGAGATCAGGCGCATGCTCGATGCCCACGAACGAAGACTCGAAATGCGGTGGGCCAAAAGAGGAAGGAAAACCAAAGGAGCTCGAGTGGCGATGCCGGGTGCCTGGGTTGACTAAAGGTTAGGCATTTGGTCGCTAGGAGTCGGTCGCCGAGTAATAGGGAGTTGCTGCTTTTGGATTGTGGAAAGTTAGGGTTGCCCTTTCTAAAATCGCAAGTGCATCTCGGTCCGGGCGACACAATGCCAGCGGCGGACATTTTGACGACCTCGGGAATGATGCCGCCAAGCGCAGAGTGATCCCACGCGAAAGAAGATGCCCTCATACGACTGAGTAACGGTGGTATCATCCAGGTCTCCCCGGGGCGGCAATGCTATGCTGGCCCTAGACCAAAAGCTGGCTAAAGATTGCTGATACGATAGGTCGATCATTCCCCTTTTCAATTCCCTTCCTTCTTCCAGGTTCTTCTTCCAAGTCCTCTTCCAGCTCCTTTTCCCGCATCTCTTCCAGTTCCTCTTCCTGTTTCACTTCCCGGCTCCTCTCCCGGCCCATCTTCCCGCCTCGCCACCGCGTTGCTACTTGTAATATAACTTCAACTTGCCCTCCAGCTTATAAGCCTGTTCCCTAGCGTGGTCTTGCGCGTTCCCAAGGCAGTTCCAGCCCTCCTTGTAGTTGTCGGTAGGAGCTGATCAAAAACGCCTCCTAGAGACGATACTGGTGATATTCAAGCGTGCCGTCTTCGCCCGGGGCCGCGTAGTGCGCGTAGATGTAAAGATTCTCACCATTCGCGGCCAAGGTCGTAATGCTTGCGTGTCCAGGGGGGTCAGACTTTCCCTTTGTAGTCAAGGGCCTGGCTCCGAACGCAAACGAGAACTGCTCCGCCATAGCTGCACTGCAGCACCGCTTTTCTCATATTTCCCCCGGTGCCCTTCCATTCTCCGGCCAGGTGCGGGAGCGTGAAGGAATAGGCGTCCTTCTTGTAGAGGACAGCTCCGTTGACATGGGCGTCGACCGGGAGCGGGCGGTGTTGTTCCGTCTTCAGCCCTTCAATGCAGTTGGGTTTCGGAGCAGGCAAACCGTTGTTGAAGCCAACGTCCTTCGGGAAGGCTGTGAGTTGCTGGCTGAGCAAATGTCCGTAGCCGTCCGGATACTTCTTCAGCAGCGGTAGCATTCTGCTAAGCAAGGTACTATTGTTGTCAACGGGTCGTCCATGGAGTTATAGTGACTAGACGCTAATTTCTTGGTGCGGCTATTCATTTTGTCGAAAAGAGTCAAGTTCTTCCGCGTCTGTCGTTTGTGTAACGGTGGGTTTGCTGGGACTTGCTATTGCTGGGATCGCGGGGGCTCTGCTCGCCAGGGCTTCGGGGGGCTTTTCTCCTGCCCATGGTGAAAAACGAAAGAAACGGAAAGCTCCTTTCCCAATGGGCTGGATATTGCGGCGGCTGGTATCGTTTGGGCGAAGCTGAGTGCCTGCGCGGCTGGAAGGAAAAGTATTACTAGAGGGAAAGAGGCGGACGACCGGCCCTTTTATATCCGATTCCGGACGGCAAAGAGTAAAGGCAAGAATGAGGAGACAAATGAAGGCGCCAGGGATCCCCATATTCGGGAAGACGTGACAGCGTGGTATGCTGACGCCCAATGGTTTACCCAAGGGGTGTTTGTGAAATGAAACAGGACGGGAAGAGGAGGAAGAAGAAGAAAGAAAAATCGCCAACTATATGTAGACCTACGATCCCGCGGTCCATCTAATCACCCCGTCACCGATACATTCCAGCACCCGCAATTCAGCTTTTACTCGAATATAAATCTAGGTTTGATTTCCTTTCGGCTTTTTAATCGTCAAGGCTTTCTTTGCCCAGTTCATATCTCGAAAAAGGGATCTTTCTGGCGATTCAAAATTCGTCGATACTTTTATCCCTCTGCTGTGCCACCCCAAACTCCCTTTTCCACCTCCGAGCCTCCGGCTGCACACTTTGCCGACGACCTATTTCCATCACTCAAGCCGACGACTCCGCTGCAACCCGACAGGTGAGAGGGATCTGAGACATTTAGTTGTGCAAGGAAGTGTGGCAGCTAACGGTCCAACAGGATGTGCCATTGGAATTACGTCAAGCACCCTTGCGGCTGCAGGAAGAAGATGGAGTTTTTCCAATGTGAAGAGCAAAAGCAAAATCACGCCAACGTTCGATGCCCGAAGCCAGCAATGAAGCGTGACCACGAGTCGACCAACTACTGCTTCAATCACTTGGTCAAACCCGAGGCCCCGAAGAAATACTTCTCGGACAGGGAGGAGTAGATGAACAACTCAAGACAAGTTGACAATGAGGTGATTGTCGGTTCGCGATATGGGTGGGGAGTGTATGCAAGCAGGGAAGCAGGAACACGAGAGATCACCGCAATGCAAGCCATGGGAAGATGAACGGGATCGATTAATACATGCGTCCGTATTTAGTGACTCGTATAAAGTGCAATACAAGGCCAGCCAGTGATTTCTGATAGCAGAGCGGGAGCCCGAAAAAAAAGAGGTTTGACGACAGGGATATTCTTGGTTCCAGACATCTAGGTAACCTATACCTAGGCAGGTAGCCATGTCACTTTGGCTGTTGTGAAGCTACGGCAGTGCTCGCTCTCCAGAGTGCTTGCGCGTCCGCACACGAATCGAAATGTTCCAAGAACCCTTCGGCAGTATAGGACCGATCCCGGATGTCGTACAGATCGAGCCTGGCGCCCTTGCTCCGCTGAACAGCCTGTTGGCAGCCTTGACAGCTGAGACAGCGCGTGACTTGGCGCGAAACCCGGTCGATGTGCGGCAGGGCCACAACAACCATGCACCTCGAAACCTCCGTGTCCTCGTTCGGCCGCTCGGCGCACGAGACGCCGAAGACGTCGAGCACGGCGGCGGAGGAGACCAGGTGTTGCCGCCGCGCCCGGCGCTTGGGCCACATGCCGTACTCGCCGGGGACGGTGTGCACGGCCCGCAGCGCCCCCAGCAGCCGCCGGCGGGGCACGCCGGCGGCCTTGGCCGCGGCGGGGGCGGGCACCGCGGCCAGCTCGGGCGAGGTGGTTAGGCAGGTGAAGCAGCAGCGGCTAAGCGTCGGGATGAACAGGAGCGGCCCGAAGAAGCCGCAGAGGCAGCAGGCGCCGGACCCGGAGGCGACGAGGCCGTGCAGGTCGCGCAGCGCGGTGCGCGCGGCCGCCCCCGTCCGGAGCAGGGCGCGCAAGACGACGGGCGCGTGCGCGGCAACGGTCCGGTACTGGGGCAGCGCCGAGGCGGCGTGGCGGGCCAGGTTGTTGACGGCGCGGAAGCGCACGACCGAAAGCACGTCGAGCTCCAGCAGGACGGCGGCGAGGAGCTCCGGCGGCAGGCGGCTGAGCGGGCCGAGGGAGACCGACCAGGGTTGTTGGGAGTCTGGGTGCTCAAAGACATCGAGGAGGGAGACGCCGTGCACGCGCGGGCGCTTCGCCTTCTCGTCCGGGTCGGGGCGGATGCCGATTTCGTCCCAGTCATGACGGTGGTAGGCGGCGACGCGAAGGATGCCCGCGGTGTCTTCGTCGCGTCGTCGCTCGCCGTCGGCGTTTTGAACAGGCGGTGTAAATGTATGGGACATTGCGCTTGAGCATTGGTGGCGACGACGCCGGACAGTTGAGGACGCGTTCACGCTCAAAGGCGCGGAGACTGGGCGCAAAACGGCACAATTGTCATATATTGCCGCCGGATACTCGCAAGCGCCACAGGTCCCCGTATCACATAGCTACCTAGATCAGACCAACATACCAACTGACTAAATTTTTCGTTCACTGCTAATGACGTATCGCCCGAACAAAGGTCCAAAGGTGGGGAGGGCGTTTGGGAAGAAAAAAAAAGAAGCAACAGAAAAAGAAAAAACCAACCCAGCCATTATGATTCACCGTGGACAAACAAACCTCCCCGGAGCTCTCGCAAGCCAAGCCAAATCAGCGCTATAAGCACGGAACAAGATTGGCCACGTGCAACCAGCACCACACAAATCATTGGCAATGTTCCACGTTCATCACCAGGTCTGTCCATCAGGCAACTGTCTGCCCCTGAAGTGCCCCCGAAGTGCTATAATATGCTACCGCAGTGCTATTCTGTGTGCTGTGGCGCCAAGTGCGAACGTCGAGTATGAAGAAACACAATGCCGTCCTTAGTCTTGCCTCGGCAGAGGATGAACAAAGGGCTGATAGATATCGTGGGGGCGGGAGAGCAGCCAATGAGCAAAAAACAAATGCAGGTCGGGGAATTATGCAGAAAGGCAAGGCACCACGAATCCATGTGGCGCGCAATGTGCAGGAAAGCAGAAATGCGAGAACAGAGATGACCAGATAACTCCCTCCCAAAAGAAGCAGGAATTAGGTGTTGTAGTGCGTAATCCGTCCCAACCACCCTACTGACCCCTGTGAAAATTATGTGCAAACCTACCCCCCAAAGCGCCTCGAAAAGCAAGAGATAGATGAGAAGCAGAAAAAACAACGATGAGTGGGTATTAACGAAGCTAGTAGATATGATACTTTCGCTTGCTCATTTTCTGTAGTTTTGTCGTGTCGTCATCGCGGATGGGTCGCCCCTTTCACGGGGTGTCCGTTGGTGTGAGCTGGAGCGAGGCCAGCTGGGATTGCGGCGGCTTCCCGCAGCTCTTAGAGCGGAAGTGTGCTTCCTCCCGCCTGAGGCCGCTGTCGCAGCCGTTGGAGGCAGCCACCCATCCGGGGGCTTGCGCTTGTTGGCCCCGAGCCTTGGTGCTGGCGCCGCTCCCCACGCCGCAGGCCGATTTCGCGGCCCGCGCCATGTCGGACAGGGCGCCTTCCAGCACGTCGGGCGCGGTAAGCGGCATGATGCGGTAGCCCAGGCTCTCCATGATGCAGCGCTCCGTGACGTTGATCTGCTCGTACGTCCAGACGCCGCCGCCCCAGGCCGAGGCGTACCACCGCGTCGGTTCCTGCGAGTCCTCGGTGAACTTGCCGGCGATCATCATGGCGGCGAGCACCATGACCTCGGGGTTGACCGAGTCGATGTGCAGCTGCAGCGGCTGCTGGCCCCGGACGAAGCGGTCGCGGGACATGTTACCAGTCCCGGCGAGGGTGTGTCGCTTGCTGCCCGAGCGCCGCAGCGGCCACGCGGCCGAGTCGTCGGCGGCGGGGGCGGGGGCAGGGGCGGGGGCCAGAGGGCACGAGAGCCTCCAGTTGCGCGAGAAGCGGGTAGTGAGCGAGTCCAGGATGCAGACGGCCAGGGCGACCGTATGCTCGGGCAGGTCGGCGCGGGCGAGCATCGACTGCACGAGGGAGACGGACGGCGTGGCCAGCGAGGCCGAAGGAGGGAGGAGGTTGACCAGGTGGATGGCGGCGCCTGAAGGTGCATTGGGTGTTAGTGGATGGGTCGGGACGAGTGTGGGGTGCAGGAGCATTGCAGCAAGACTGACCTATCAGAGCTGGGTGCAGCAGCTCGCCTTCGTGCATTTCCATGACCGGGCTCTGGGAGGCGGACGAGTTTTTGGACGAGGGGGGCGGAGTCGGGAGGTTCGACAGCGGTCTGTAAGTCCTCTCGAAGTACTCCTCGTCGAAGTCGAAGTCGTCGTCAGACATGTCGTCCTTCTCGTCCCGCCGCAGGGGGAGATCCTTCAGGTGCTTGTCCATGGCAATTTTGCCCGTCTTGGTTCTTCGTTCCTTTTTCTGTTGCTCGCTGTCTCCTTCTCTCTTGCCTTCTTTCCTTTAGTGTGACCCGTTTCCGGACACTCAGGTTTGCCTCCCGCTGCTCAATTGGAATGTCCAAGAAGGTTCATATCCCGATACGCATACAACGTCGGCACCGGACTGGTTTAGGATCAGGTGAAGACACGCGATCCCGTCCCCAGGCTGGTCAAGATATCAGTAGGAACAACGGCAGCGGCGGCAGGTCCTGGAGATGCTCGTTCTACGACGGTGGAGTTGAGCAAAGGCCAGAGGCAGGGTTGTAGACCGCAGCTGTGTCGGCTAGCAGGGGGGCAGCAGATGGCGTCCATGTACGGAGTGGAGATGTCGGAATCAGCGTAGGCTTGGTGAGCCGAGCAGGGCAGGGCGGGGCGCCGAAGACGATGTGGAGGAGAGTCGCAGGTGCGAGTGAGGATGCCGAGAGGGAAAGTGTGTGAGACGAATGGAGGAGAAATGACAGCTGTTTTAATTGTATCCAGTCCAGCTCGTGCTTCTCGTGTTGGATCAAAACCACGCGAGTTTGCTAGCTGCAAATAGAAAGTCCAGCTTCGAGGCACTGCAACGCAAGGCTAGCGTCCGGCACAAAGAAGCAGAAGGGAAACGGGAGCGATCGATCTTGTCTGCGATCAATGCAACCGAGCGCGAGGTAGCTTGCGAGCACGGCGGAAGCGGTTGGGCGTCTGTGAGAAGGGCGAGCTTGGACTTTTAATAACAGGGCTGATGAGAGAAAAGGGGTTTGGGACGGGCGGGATGGCTTGGAGGGTTTTAGCTTGGCGGGTGGGAAGGGATCACCGACTAGACCGTCATCCCTGGCCAGGAACGGAAGGATGTGGGGAGATTGGAAGGTGCGTGCTCCCCGTTTTGCTGCGCGTCGGACTGGGCCGACGGTCGGTAGGCGCACATGTTTTATGTTTCTCTTTATGGAGCGGTGAGAGCGCCCGTAACCCAAACCCATCCATCCATCCCATGGCCAGTGCCTCACCAACATGGAGCCGGCTGCTGCATCAGCCCCTCGGGTGCGACGACGGATGGCGTCGAGGGGACGACGGCAGCAGCCAGACGCTTGCTGCAGATCTCCGTTTTTTTTGTCCCTCCTTCCCGCCGCAAGAACCCACCGGAGACCAGGCTACAGTAGCGTCAGTTGCCAAATCTGGTGCCACCGACTAAGTGCCACCTCGCGGTGTGTGTGTGTGTGTGTGTGCTCCCTGGCTGGGCGCTGGCTGGGATGGCGGGGGCCTGCCAACCTGGGCCTAGCAGAGGGCGGCGTCAGGACGTGCACAAAGGACGAACGGCAGCTCGTCCGGTCTGGCGTGGTCTGGTCGTGTTTGGTTTAGTCTTGGCTCCGCTACCTTTGAGAGAGGGGAAAAAAGAAACATGTCGTTTGTGCTTGTCGTGTGCCTAGCTCGCTGCTCGTCTTGGGCGGGCGCGGCTACTGCAGTCATGGTCTGTAACAAGCACGACGTCACACTCCCGCGCGACTCATTGGAGGGTGGCTGTGGAAAAGGAGGAGAGCAATGCAAGATGGGAATGCCGAGCGAGCGGGTTTTCCTGGAATACGGGCTACGGTGGAGAGCGCCCGCTATTCGCCGGGGGGCACCCTTCACTTTGCCATGGACTTTGATAGCAGTGGGCCCCGGCCATCACGACATGGGAGAATGGTCAATGCTGGCTGGAATCTGGGCAGCAAAGCAGGCGCTTGGAATTGTTCCGAAAAGCCGCACCACACACCATCCCGCCTGGTTTTTTCGTGCTCGTCCTTGCAGCGTCGCATCCTACGGTTGGCTGGAGCCCCAGTGGCATGGCATCAATCCCGCTGGCCCCTGAAGATCTCTGCCCAATCCGCAATCAATTGGTGTTTTTTCTTGTCTTGCTTTGGGGTCACACACAAGAGCAATTGCTGCATCCAGCACGCACCACCACCACACCTTGGCCAAAGAAAAAAATCCCGTGTTTTTTTTTTCCTTGTCCTGCGTCCGATGCATCAGCTCGCCGCATCTCGTAAAACCCTTCGTGCGTCGGCGAACCCGCCGCAAAGCAAGCCGCACCCTAATTCCGGGCCCAACTGTCGCCGTGCTTCCCTCTGCTAGCGTTTTTTTTTATTTGTATTTTTTTCATATCGTCTCATGAAGGAGGAGCAAGCCCAGCGGCCAAACGTATCCGCCTTGGTTTTGGGTTTGTCAAGCGGCATTCGCCAGCCGGGGCGGGTGCCGACACGGACGATGGCGTTAATCGTCCCGTCGACGCCTCATTCTGCAGAAAAAGGCGCCGGGAGAAATTGGCTTTTCGTCTTGTTGTGTGGTTGCCTCTTTTTTTTTTTGCCTTCAGCCTCTTTGATTCCCTTCTTCTGGCCAATCCTCCGACATTCCGCCCTCATGCACAAGTCGCACCACTTCGTAAAACCCGTTGATGGCGTGGCACAGCAGCAAAATGCGCACCGGGTCAAAGCTTGATGTTGGACTGGCGGTCGTCTCGTGACAAAGCACGAGAACAGCGATTCGGGAACGCCGGAGCCGCCTCGCCTTTCCGACCATTGGAAGCCAGCCTTGACATGCAGGCGTCGGCGATGGAATGTTGCCCGTTTGGGGGCAGACAAGCTTCAGCCTCCGGAGCGATTTCTGGCAAAGCCCGCTAGGAAAAAAAAAAAAAGAATTGGGTCTCGGCCAAGCCATGCGGCGTCTCGAGGCTCACCAGCTGAAATGCAGGCGCCACATTGAGCAAAGCCGAGCGTCGACGGGCTGAACTAAACGGGCTTGTGGGCTGAAATAAGCTGTAGGTAGTGGGCTGTGCCGCAAGCCCGCGCGCCTGCATGGCACGCCCGCCCCAACTCAATTTCCGGCACTAAAGATTAAATACCGGCTTACCTAGCCCGGGCGGCCGGGAAGGAAGGCGGCGGCACAGCATGGCGGCACAGCGGCGGGGACGCGGGTCTGGGGCCGCCTCAATTTTGGACTTGAGCCCCGCCAAGAGGTCAAGCCGACGTCAAAGAGTCCATCCAGAAATCTGGGCCGGGACCGAAGAAAAGGAGAAGGTGGCGTCAAGGTGTTGAGGTGTTTAACAACATAAGGGAAAATGTTATTCGTCCGGTCTGGCGACTGTTCTGGCAGCTAACGATAGTCTAGGGGTATGATGCTCATGCTAAGTGATAAAAGAAAAGTGTCCCAAAAGGAAGGTATTAACGATTACAATGCAAAAACTCCTTTTTTTCC